CTTGATCCGTATGATCTCATCGGCCACTAGCTGCTTCACCTCTCGGAGGGGAAGAAAAAAACAGCGCCTCTCTGCCGGAGTCGCCCTAATTGTCTGCTTCTGCTTCCTCTTCTTCTTCTTCTTATTCTTATTCTTCTTCTTCTTCTCATTCTCATTCTAATTATCATTATTCTTCTTCTTCTTGTTCTTCTTCTTCTCCTTCTCCTTCTCCTTCTCCTTCTCCTTCTCCTTCTCCTTCTCCTTCTCCTTCTCCTTCTCCTTCTCCTTCTCCTTCTCCTTCTTCTACTACTGCTTCTTCTTTTTGGCGTCCGCGCCCGCCCCTGTATTCGGGGCCGTTCCTTGAAACTCTGAGTTCGGGCTCGCTCTCTCTTTCTCTCTCTGACACTCTGACTCCCTGACTCTCCGGACTCTCTGGACTCTCTGACTCTGTGACTCTGTCTCACTCGCAAGGAATTTCAAGTCCCCTCTGAGCTCCCTGGGCGCCTTCTCGCGCCGGGCATCCAGACTTCCGGCACCTTGTTGCGGTTTTGAAGGTCGAGACGACGAACTCCGCACCACTGCAAGCCGTGCTACGAGTAGCGCAAACTCATCCTGAAAAGGTTTGAAACCGCGAATCTGATCCAGGGACCTGGGAAAATGCTTCTCCTAAGCTCCGAGCCCAAGCCGAGCTGCTTCTCCAGGTCCACGCGAACCTGCTGATGGAGAGCCGTAACCCTGCAGAACACCGCCTTCCCCTCCCCCCGCACCAGTTCACACCCATGCAAAGAATAGATATGCATACGCTAACTATATCATACCCTTCCAATCCCTTTCTTTGCAGGGAGGGGTTCGCAACTGGGGCTGCAATCGGGGATAGAATAGAACTCCGTTTAGAGAACACCCGGAGTGGAGTTGAGTAGACTTTCTCGCAATGTTGAGCACACGAGCCAAGGAATTTGCTGGGGGAACCTAAGCCCTATAAACCCTACAAACCCTGTAAACCTTCCGGGAACGTTGGCTCTTGTCGGGGCCTGCTTGAGCGAGGTCTCTGCAAGATCCCGGCCCTTCAGCAGCGCTTGGATCGCTTCCCGGAGCCGCTCGTCCGGGAGCTCCGCCCTCAGAAGAGAGCTCCAACAGAGTTGCGGGGGGGTTTCTCCGCAAAGTCCTAGGGGACTCCTAAGGGGACTCCTGGTTTGTGGACTCCTCTTCTACGGATGCCTAGGCGTACTGGACTCCTTCATGGAATCCTGCATGGAATCCTTCCTGGATTCCGTTTATGGAGTCCTACTCACAGGAGGCCAGATGGCTACAGCTAGGCACGCTGATACGACGAGTGCCCCACTCGGATGCCATGGCGCGGGAAGCTGGCGCTCTAAGTACTATCTGGCAATGTTGCCATAAGATAACATGGTCGGGTGGGGAAGTGCTACGAACTGTTGCAGCTACGTTGCGTAATATCGGGGCTGCCGACTCATTCGAACTTATGGCGGAAACACAACTCGTAGCCCTAATCTAAGTGGCAACGCTTGAAGTTCTGGCAGTGCCAGCGGCACACATCTCTCTTGCAAAGCTTTCGCGCTGCTCTCGCTCGGATGTGCGGGTCTTTTCGGATCTGCATTTGAATGCTTCTGCTGGAATCACAGTTTGGGCACCAAGAACAACAAGGCCTCCATGTTGGATGAGAGAAAGAGACAGAGAGAGAGAGAGAGAGCGAGAGAGAAAAAAAATCGAGCGAGCGAGCAGTGCAAAGCATCGCAACTGCAACCGCCAAGCTATATGTCTTGAAGCATTAACGCAACCGGAAAAAGAAATGGCAGAAGAGCAACGTTATTCCTGATAACAGTGACGTTGACTTAACCCAATCCCCGCCTTATCTGCTCACAAAAGGCTCTCGCAAGTGGCTTAGGGCAAAGACTCTGTTGGTGGTTGGGCTTTGGGAAGATTGACGTCAGGCAATGGACAGATAGATATGGTAGGTGGTGGGCTGACTGAGAATTGGGTAGGAGTCGTGGGTCGCTCAAATGTGAGACCGCACCTAAATGCAACATGCTGTAAAGTCTGACATGTTCACACTCCGAAGGGGTTCTCACAAATCAAGACTCGAACGGCAGTGATGACGTCTCATCTCACCAGGAACGGGCACCCCTCACTGCTGCTCTGTAGCTCCAAGTTTTGACGAACACATGCCAAGCGGAAAAGAACACCGTCAATTGTGCTCAGCGTGACAGCTTTCACCCACACAAGGATGTTCCGGCTCATTTCAAGCGCTGTTCTTCTTCTTTTTCTTCTTCTTCTGTTTCTTCTTCTTCTTCTGCTTCTTCTGCTTCTTCTTCTGCTTCTTCTTCTTCTTCTTATTATTCTGCTTCTGCTTCTGCTTGTTCTTCTGCTTGTCCTTCTTCCTCCTCGACCTTCCAGGCTGGACGCCTCGAAGGGAGGCCACCCCTTGTAGTGCATGTTACTTGGCACACTGAGTGTATCCTTGGGAAGGGCGTGTGTGCGGGGGCGGTACTACTACTGACTAGTACTACAAGTAGTACTAGTCTAGTACTACTACTGCTGCTACTACCACGACGCCTACTACGATTACTTCTCCTTATACTACTACGGAGAGGAGGGCCTCACGCAGCGCCGAATGACCATTCTACGATGTATTTCTTTGTTCAGGAATCGCATTAGTAATTTCTAGTCAGCTGAAGAGGAAACCTAAGCCCCGATCTTGAACCTTGGCCTTCACCTCCTTAATGGCCTGAACCTGAATAGTTACTTTAAAGCCCTTAATGCCTAATCCCTATTCCCTATCCCCAGAAACACCCTAAACTCCACGCATCTGTAACCAGTCACGCCGTAAACCCGAGCGGGGAAGGGGGCAGGAGCACAAAAACAATGCAAAGAACAATAATATTAATAGTGGTAGAGCTAGGTGTGGGTGGGAAGATGCAGCCAGATTCAGACTCAGCAGGGTTTAGAATGTCCGCAGGCTTCAAGGCGGGCTTTCTTGGTGCGGAGGAAAGCGGCAACGTCCAGACGTTTGCAGGATTTGCAAACGCCTGTACAGACGTTTGCGCAGACTTCTGCGATGGTGTTTCTCTCAGACACCACGCCCCCCATTGTGGCGCGGCCTCCGCTGCCTGTACTGCCCTGCGCAGCTCGTCCCAAGTCAGTTCCACTCTGCATTGGCTTTCCAAGGCTAAAGCCCACTGGACTGAAGCTCCTTCCTTCAACCTCGTGTCAAATAGGCAGCAATGTCTTCTTGCAAGCGGCTGTCTGGTGGAGGTCTGCTTGGCCACAGCATCGCAAGTTGCCACATTATGTGCAGAATGAACGCAGTTCCGCATTCAGAAAGAGGCAAGCCAACGGGTGTTGAGCTCGCCGATGGTCTTGGATCAGTTCATCCCACATCGGGGCCAGATCGACTTGCACAAGGGAGTCGAAGTCGATCAAGTGGAGCTGATTGCATTGGTCCTTGAAGAGATTGCCGTACCGAAGATCGGCATGAACGATTGCGCATGAAGACAGGTTCTCCAGCAAAGCCAGGACGGGGCACATGGTTGAAGAGGGTGCTGTGAGGCTCTCGCCTTGCAACTTCTCGATCGCTGGCAACCAGACGGCACTGGGGTACTCGCCCATCATGGTCGTCTAAGGCCTTATTTTGGCCAACCATAGGCTTGGAGCTGGGGAAGGATAAAAGAAGCTCCACAGCCAAGTTGACCAGGATGTCTCATTGTTCGATGGCGGCCCAACACAGCTCCATGGGCACCAGTCGAGGATGAAGTACGCTCACCACCTTGACAAAGTTCAGTGCCGCAGCTGAACAAGTCCTCGCCAATGCTGATGGCTTCAAGTGACGACTCACGCAAATCCTCCGCCCCAACCCCAAACCATTCTCAAGGCAAAAAGCCTGCAAGCCGGAGAGGGGCTGCAGCAGAATCCCCGGTGAGCATCTCCAGGCTGGCCCCAATGGGCCCGGATAGAGGACTGTAGTGCTTCACACAAGACATGGAGCAACGTGGCAAGCTGCACGAGCTCAGGTCTGTCGTTGCCCTCCACCTTTTGAGCAGTGACCGTCATAGCCTGCCAAGATCCCATTGCCGCACAGAGAACACGTAGCTTAACCGGTCAGACTGGACAGGATCCTGACAGGACCCACGACGATCGGCTGGCTGTTGCCACAAACGTCTCGTTGCACTGGAGCAACGACTGCAGCCACGCGGCGCAGTACTTGAGCAACGACATTTTCATTTTCACCTTCTTTCTCCAGCTCGAAGCGGATGGCGCTGCGCTTGATTTCCGCTGTAGCAAAGGGGGCCTCGACGATGTCTTGCTGGCTCGCTCGGTTTGAACTCCCGGATCACGGCTGGGCAACTTTGCAGCCTTCAGCCCTCTGAGGGATTGCGGCTTCACTCCGCATTTCGCGCATCTGTCTCATCTATGTACGTATGCACGCATCTGCAGGAAACCAAGAAACAACCATGCGGTAGACAGAGCTTGTGCAGCCAACCGAGGCTGTCGCCTTCTTTCAGATGGTGAAATCGATGGACAAAATCTGCTGCAACTTCACAAAACCTGAAGTGCAGTTCTATTTCCGAATCAAGTCGGAAAGGCGCAGTTGCACAGCTGAGGTCAACACACGACGGCAATCCCATCCACACCCAACAGGCCATGTCCCTGACCGGCCATCCCAAGGGTACCTGCCAGGCTGCACACGGCATTTGTGTCCCGCAGCGCAATTCCTTAAGAACCTAACCGTCGAAGTTTAGTTGTAGTTTTGCATGGTCGCAAAAGCATTTTAAATGTCACGAGGGTGTCCTCAGATCCTCTTGGCACGCTAGCCAGCTATGTCATCCGTGTTTGCGAAGACCAACGAAGGGTATGCAACGGTACGCAATCAGGGTGTAAGCAAGCACAAGACCAGTGCAAGGTCTGCCTGAGCACCGGTCCTGTGATCAGAAATCATTCCGAAAATGCTAACCTTGCCGGCGATTCGCTGTGATTTTCAACAGCTCGCCTTTGCAGCTCGCAAAATCTCCTGATGCCGCTGCATCGTGCACACATGCCTAGTAACTTTGGCTGCGAGGCCTTCTTACTTACATACGTGCCACACATGGTGCGTGAATCAACAGGAACAGGGTTCCGTGGGCCTTTGTTCTGGAGCCTCCGGACGGGGATGCTATGCTGTGCTTGACACCGTGCTAATGACATACGACCGTCATCCACAAGCAAATTCGGGCTGCAAGCACTGCTCGTTGAAAGGGTTTCAACCACGTTCAAGCCCATACTCCTGCCTTGGAGTATTGCTACGGGCGGTACGAAAGGGTATGGAAAGAAACTTATGCAAAATCCTTTTTGTATACATGTGTGGACTTCGCGGACAACGTCGACAACGGAACTGAAAATGGGCCGACATGATGATGCAAGCCACTGCACTTAGCCTTTTTTCTGGGATTCTGCCTTGCTTCTTCGCACAGGAGGGCACCCCCACCCCCATCTGACCCTTGTGGAAACTTCGAGCCGGAGCATAACGAATTTCAGAAAGGTCTGCACTGTCCGGAAACAGAAGAGCGATGATCGCATATGCACGATTGGAAGGAGATGGAGGGAATTGCTTGTAGGCATTTTTAAGGGGATGTGGCGTTTCAAAGAAAAATTGCCCTTTCTTGGCGTGGGCACTGATCCAAGCTCGGCACATAGCAACAAGTTTCATCCCATGCCCTTAGGTCGATTTTACCTGCATAGGCAAAAGAATTGTTTGCCGAGTTTTCTCAATAATTCCCAACAACCGAAGGGTTGGGTTTCGATCTCCAGAGGCACGGGGCCAAATATCACCCGGAGGCCGGAACGGAACGGAACGCCGGAACGGAACGGAACTTGATCATCTTTGTTTTGCTGGCTGGGCTGCACAGCTGGGTTAATCCCTTTGTGGGAAGAATCCCAGGCAGCCAAAAACCTGTGCGCTGGCAACATAATCGTGGCTCCATTGTCTGTCCCCTAAAAGAGGCTAGCTGTCCGGACAACTGGTAGGGGGGAAGCTTTAAGCAACTAGCACCCGGCGATCTATTTAATCGCTGGCGCGCGCTATTTGGTCGCTAGCGCGAGTTATTTGGTCGCAGGGGAGGATTTTTTCCTCTGCTTGCTCTGCGAAAAGGTTAAACAAACATCTGGCGCGAGCTATTTGGTCGTACGGGAAACATCTGGCGCGAGCTATTTGGTCGCAGGGGAGGTTTTTGTCCCAACTCTGCTTGCTCTGCTAAAAGGTTCGAAACATGTGGCACGAAACCCTACAAGCACGAAGGGAGGGGGCATACGACAAACCTCTAGGGCCCTCACCAAACCCTACGAGCACGAAGGCGCGGGACACGCGACAAACCTCTAGAGCCTTCAGCGTAAGCAACTAGCACCCTGCCCCAGTGTTTTAGGGGCTGGAAAACACGCTCCTAAAAAAGGTGGTTTGCGTAAATTGGGGCGTTTATCCGAAATAATTATCCCTTTGTAGGAAAAGAGCCATGACAAAAGTCCAACAGTCATAGCGTGCTGTGACTAACCAACTAGCGCCCACTCTTGCAGCGGGACGCCCAAAAACCTGCAAAGGGTTGTGAATATGCCCCTGCGACCAAGCCCCAAAATCATAACGTTCACATGGAGCGCATTGCCGAGTGCGAAAAAAGCCTTGCTTTCCGTGCTTAAAGTCTCTGTGCAGCCGCAAAGCCCTAAACTTGAACCACTGCAAGCCCGTTGCACCCTGAACACTAAAAAACATGCGAAATGCTGAAAGCACTGGCGGGCGCGGCGCTTTTCAACAGAAGACCACATTGCAGTTACCCCGTTCCACTCTGAACACTCACACAACACAAAACCCCAAAACGCGCAGAAATCGCAAAAACATATCCCCAAAATAAGCACTGCGAAATGCTGAAAACACTGGCAGGCGTGGCACTTTTCAACAACACATTACCTTGTGGTCACCAAGTCCTGACAAACACATGCCGCCAAAAAACCCCTTCCAATGCGCGAGCACTGCCCTGCGTAGGTGCACATGTTTGGGTAACCACCTCGTTTAGGGAACGTTCTTTTGCATAGCCTGCCCAAAAACTGTGCTGGTAACATCATCGTGGCCCCATAACCTCGTCAACCACCTTTCTTTTAAGGGCCTGTGAGGGCCTGCGGGTCTTTGAGGTTTGTCGTATGTCCCCTCCCTTGGTGCTCGTAGGGTTTCAGATATTTGGGCAACCACCTACGTGTTTTTCCATAACCTGCCCAAAAACTGTGCTGGTAACGTAAAATCTGGCGCCATAACCTGCCCACAGTTCAGATGTTTCGGTAACACCAGTGTAAGACCCTCAACCACCTTTCTCTGAAGTCTTAAGGGGCTGTGAGGGCCTGCAGGTCTTAGAGGTTTCTCGCGCGACCCCTCCCTTGGTGATGTCCCCTCCCTCGGTGCTCGTAGTTGATGGCGGGAGCTATTTTGTAGCCTTTAAAATTTCTCACAACTGGTGCAGCTTCGTCTGGTCTGGAGGCGCTGGTTATCACCGACACTGCACGTGGCTGGATTCCAACATGATACGGTTCGCAAGAACACCCTGCACGGTTCCGCTTGCAAACAACCCAAAACGGAGGAGGGCATGGTCCACGGAGAGATTCCAGACGCTGCGCATGGCCCCCATAAACATCGAGCTCACTGTTCAAAGACTGCAGCATTTGCAACTTGATGCCAGGAAACACTTCTCAACATTCGGCATTGAGGGCTTAGATGACTTCAGGGTTTTATCTGGGATCCCGTGCTGTTTACCAGACTATACAAACTCTACAACTCGGGCCTCAAACGACGAGCTCTGCTTCGTCCGTCGGAACGCAGCAACAGGTAACGGCGGTAACGGCGTTGTACAAAGCCTCGGCCACGAAATGCCCCGAAGGCGCTGCAAAAAGGCGACTGGCACGCGTCAGCGACAACTCCTGCGCCGCTCCGCTTTCCCCGGCCTCCAAAGAGGCACGGAAGAACTCCTGCTGGTTGGCTGCCTGAGGATGGCAGAATGGAGAGTCCACATCATGACAAGTCAATGCGCGCAGCCTTGCGGTGCACAGCATCCACCATCATCGGGAAATCTTCCGCCCAGAAGATGCGGTTCTGAAACGAAGAAACACAAGATCAAGCAACTTACCACTGCGGTTTACTCAAAGACTCAAAGGTCACTGAGGCACCGGGCTCTCAGATCCCGCGGCTGGACGTAGTACGAGGGGTACTCGGTCGGATGCCGAAAGATGCCCCGCATGGCATGCTTCCAAAACGTGCATTCCGCCATGGCGCAAACTTACAACAGATCCTACAGCAGCTTAGGGCTTGGTGACGCGTCCTCAAAGCCAAGTAGCGATGGAAGCCACTAGGTAAGGTTTGGGGCAGCGCGAAGCCAAGGTTCTTCTACAGTTTAGGATTTGCCCTCTTCTGTTAGGGCTTTAGGGCTTGCGTGTCTTTTCTTGCCTGCGCTCCTTCAGTGTAGTTTAGGGTTTCTTCTTGCATCCATCAGCACCGCCATATCCATCACAACGGCAAGCTCCGAAAACCCAAACAAGCCTTCTAGCTCAAGCGGCTGAGGGTTTTTTAGGGTTTGCCCACCTACACATCGAAGGCGCAAAGCACGACCGACACACAGCCATTACAGCCTATGCTACAATCCGATCAGCACGGCCCCTGCCCCAAACAAAGAGCTTGGAGGCTGCTGTGTGGACTCTTGGATTGGAAAACTTCGGACTACACTCGGGACGCAGCGACCGTACTGTTGGATTCAGCAAGGGAGGGGAGAGGGTTGCCAAGCGTGAGTTCCGATACCTTTGCTTTTCTGTAGTACAGTGGATTCAGGCCTTAGGGCGGTAACGGAAAACGGCACAGGTCAAAGACACACAAGATAGGCAGCAACAAAGCTTGGAAAAAAGACGCAGATCACCCCCAGCAAAAAAATCATCTACTTTCGAACGAAATAACCTGCTTTCAAAGGCTGCCCATCCCGCAATAGTGATCGAGTCTTCGATCCATCCCGCGCCGACCGTGCCCTTACGACCCCAGCACCCAGCAAGAGGATGAGGTGTTGGGCTTGCGTGCCACCATGCGGGGGGTTCCTGGCCCGAGCTATGAAGGTTCAGACATACTTATTCCATTTCTTTTCTGTGTTTGTTTTTTTCTTTCTTTTATTTCTTTTCTCCATGTTCTTTCTTGTCCTTCCTTCTTTCTTTTCTGTATTTTCTTTCTTTTCTTTCTTTTCTTTGTGTCTTGCTTTCTTCGCACCTAACCTCCCCCAATTGGAGGAGGCCGCCCTAAGGCGTGCGTTACAGGAAACTACGGAGTAACCTACATGTTTGCTTGCTCTCTCTCTCTCTCTCTCTCTCTCGGAGCTGGCAGGGGAGACAAGGGAGACTAATAAAGACTGGAGAAAGAAAGCCCCTCCGGCCTGCGAGCACAAAGAGTTTGCGCCCAAACGTTGGGGTCAAAGGCGAAGTGTAAATACCGTGATAAGCTGCGATATGAGATGTCTGCCATTAATTAGGAGGTCTGCAGAAACCTCTGAGAACGTGACTCTACCCTAGCAAGCTCCTGGCAAGCTCCTGGTGACGTCCGCCCCTTTTTGTTCAGCTTTTGAACGAACTTAGGCAGTCCGCGTCTGGGCCGGGACCCTCTGGGCAAGCATTGCAGCCCTGGCCGCACCTGGCGCTTGGACCGTGGAAGGCACTTGGAAGGTATGTATCGATGGCGTTTTGAGGACTCCGAGCACAGATCCAGGCAGAAGGAAGGAAAACATTGGCAGGAGCAGTGAATTCGAGACGTCGCTTAGGCATGCGCGCAGGGCTGCGAGCCCAGAAAAGAGACCCTGAAACCCATCCCTTCTGCCCACCTAGGAGCCCTGCGTCTCGGCCAGCTGAGGCCAGCATCAGCCTCCGGACTAACACCCACATCTTGCAACATAAGCACACAAAGCTTTAAAAAACTCATGACAGAACTTGCCACTACGGTTTGTTCAAAGCGGTCGCCGCGGCGCTTGGCCGCTCTTAGAGCCTGAGCTGATCTGAGCCGCGCGCTGCACACGGACGGGCTCCAAGTTCCAGTGGTAGGCTTCAAACTGCCTCTGCCAGGCTGCCACGAGAGGCCAGGTGGCCACCAGCTATATTTGAATTGCAGCTCACGCACATCCGCAGCACTCGTACCAAAGTAGCACGAGCATGTTTTTCTCCCATTGAAACGTCGCCACTTTGGGCATTCCACCCTCCAAACCAGTAAACAATTTGCCAGCGTTGTACGCTGTGGGCGCAGGGGCTGCCCCTGCTCCAGTTTCGGCGATAGAGACCTCGCTACCGACCTACGCGTGGCGCTACATCCCAGAGGGGTACGCCGCAGCCAGCTCCGAGAAGTCGGTCTTCGGCAGGGCGAACATCACCTTGGCCGAGAATTCACATGGCCACCCAAGGAATGAGAAATCGGCCCCCACTTGGGGCCTCTCTTGGGGTCCCAGCCAACAAGGCCAGGACTCCAAAGCCAAGGCCGAAGGCAATGAGACCTGATTTGTTGGAATTGCTCTCCAACTCATGGGCCCCTTCTGGCACCTCAAGTATCTTGCAGCCCTCTTTCAAAAACAAGGCCCCCCAAAAATCAAGGAAGCCAAAGCCCTCATGTAGAACAAGCCCCAGATGAGAACATAGAAGAACCGAGGAGAGGGAGTGGTCGGGAGTGGCCGCGACAGCATGGATGACGTGCTTTGGCCTCTTTTTTCCTCTCGCGGAGGTGCTAAGAGGCTGTCGAACTGTACAAGGCCTGCATAGTTCCGGGAAGCATTGCCCGCTGGTTCTGAACATTGGGCAAGGAGCACCAAAGACAAGGCTCTTAGTGACAACATTACACTGAAACACTAGACACTGGCAGAACGGTCTTGTCACCAAAGTGGCTGCACCGTTTGCCTTAACAGCCCATTCTCAAGTGTGGATCGGAGTCAGCTTTCCCGCTTGCGCCAGTGCGTCATGAAGCTCCATCTTGGCAGCAACGACCTGCACGCAGGCGATTCGGGCAAAGTTCCGAACACTCCAAGAGCCGTTTCCCATCACGCCTCACCAGGAGCGGTCACTCCCGCACGCCCCAGCGTGCCGTACCTGCTGTGCAACTCTAGAGTAGATTTTCTTGACGTGTCTAGCGAGCTCAGGAAACAGCTTTAGAGACTCTAGGCGTGAAGCCTGCTTCGGACTTGGGATGGTTTGGGGCCTTGCGAGGGCTTCCGAGGGCTCCGCAAGCGTGTTCCGTTCGCCTGCCTTTGGCACTTTACCCACGAGTCACAAAGCACATTGGAGGTCCCCTAGTTGCTAATCATTGCCATTTAGTGCAGCAGACAGCATCAGAGGAGCTCTGCCCTCAACCAAATCCAGAGTGACGGGGCCTTTGAGGGGCCTTTTAAGGGTGGCCGAGTTGAGGTGAGCAGAGGTGGCGGCGCACAGCGGCGGCAAGACCACCACGTTGACCACGCTGCCGTCCACGAGGCCGCAAGCCCTCCGAGAGTGTCGGAACAGAGAGGGTTCTCCACCCACTCCCCAGTAAGCTCACCGAAAAAACTTAGGAGCTCACTGGGTTTGTTAAGGGTTCGGCCGTGTTTCAACCTGGCTCTCTCTTCTCGCTGCTGGGGCCGCGGCTTGGCGGTCGACTCGTTCTTCAGGACCTGAGAGCACCAGAGTGGGCTATTCCTACTTTCCCCCCCGCTACCGCGGACCGCGGGGCGAGCGGGGCGACATCGGCTCGTCAGAGTCGCCTCTCCCCCCAAGGCGAGCTTCACCCGGTGCGAGCTGATCCCCAGCCTCGGCGCTACAGCGACAAGTGGGATGAGTTGAGGGATGCACTGAAGGGATGACTTGAGGGGATGAAGTGACAGGGCTTTACCAGAGGATCGAGGAAAAATGGCACTTGAGACGGCATCACAGAACGAGCGGCCGGGTGCCCAGAGACATCCGGAGGCCTTCCACGCGGCCGTCCCACCTCAGAGGAAGGCAGGGCACAACCCCGCCCCCCAATATCAAAAAACAGTCCGTTCGAGTGCGAAATGCGAAGTCCCATCATTCAAAATTCAAACGCTGCTCCAAGCACGAGGGAGTTTTTTGAAACTATTAACTGCGTTTTCACATTTTCTTCTTTGCATGTTTTGTAGACGTGATGGCGATGGTTTGCAACGCCGTGATAGAAAGCATCGCTTTGGGCGAGGATGGCCCCCCGAAACGGCCCCTGGCCCTGAGGCTACCTGCGGCTACCTGCTTCTACCTGCGGCTACCTGCAGCTAGTGATGGCTAACTCTTCGAGATAGCGCGGCCGAGGCGCTCGGTCTGCAAGGTCAACTCCCGGCCATCCATGAGGGCCGCTACCACCTGGATGGACTCAGGCTGACCTCGCACCGCAGCATCGCCCGACTGGACACTGTTCACATGAAAACAAAGCCGAACGACGGCCTTGCTGGTTACCCTGCACGGACGATGACCAGTACAGGAAGTTCTGCAACATCGGACAACGAAAAACGCCCAGCCATCTTGCTTCGAGAAACCAGCGCGTTTCGATCCTTTGGCGGCCGCCTTGCCTGCAGCTGTAGGGCTCAGCTTAGCATTCTCCCCAGCCCTCGAGTTGAGAAAAGACTCCCCAATTCAACGTTCTCTCTTTCACACACAGCCTCCAGGAGCCGGAGGTGGTGGAGGTGGTCCTCTCATTCGCAAAATGCAGTCCGAGCCCCCTCTCACCGACTCCATCTCCCCCCCCCCCCACCGCCCCACCCCCCCACCCCCACCCCCACCCAACTCAAAACCGCTTTGATTGGGCCCCCGGGCCCTTGCCAGCTGCCTTGCCGCAATTGCTGGCTCCCTGCGCCATGGCCTGACACGAGGACTGGGGCTGATCCACATATTATCTTCCCGAAACCTTGTCGAAGGGTTTAGGGCTTTCGGTGGCGTGCGTTCCTTTCGTTGTCTTCTATGCATCTTTTGCCGAACTGGCAGATGAACGTCAGGTTGCCTCCATGTCTCCATTTCATCTGAGTATATTTTTTTAGCCACGGAATGATCTTGGCACGTTCAAAGCGGGCTGTGGCAACCCTCTCGTTGATCTTGGCGTTTGGTGGCGCTGAAATCTTGTTGCTGCAACGAGTACGCGTTGTTACGCTGTGTCTTAAGACTCGTTCTGCCTTCGTTCTTCATACTGCTTTCAGGAGACTAACAGGGGCTTGAGGCGGCCATTGCACCATTCAACACTCTGCTCAAACCTCTTCGGCTAAGGAACTGCCACGGAAGGCCTGGCTTCGACGCCGCGGGAAGTTGACGACGAGAGGGACCCACTTTGATGTCCCGCGGAAAGAGCCGACAGGATGCAAATTGGGGGGATGGGCGTTTGCTTGTTTTCAGCTTTGCATAGGATGGGTTTGCATGTATGACGAGGCTTTTTTGTACCTGCGCTTGTCCATGATGCGCTTCCATGCGCGAAAGAGGGAAGTACACCGAAGTACACAGGGAGGTACCTGCAGATTCTACGGGTCAAGGGGAGGTGCTGAAAGGGGGGGCAGAGGCCGGGCTCTGGGCCGTAGCTCCCCAGCCGCATGGCGACCAAGGAGGAGGGAGCGTCCTTGCCCTTCGCAGTCGACCTTCACAGAAAAGACGGCGCCACAAGGCGCGCCACACAAAGAACTTGAAAATCACTTCCAAACAGGCAAGAGGGAAACTCCAGCATATAAGTCTATTCAGCTGTTCTGAACTCTTCCACTCAGTTCTGCCTGAGGTGGATGGCCGCCGGGTAGATGAAAGCCAGGCAGGGGCTCAGGACGGCACCTGTCTCGAGGCGCCCATGCACACTCCTGTTCCTCTTGGAAGGAGGCAATTTGGAGCATTTATTGGGATGCTTGTTGGGATGTTTAGAGCGGGGCCCTCCGTCAAGAGGGTCTACAGTCTAGGGTTTAGGAGCGGCCAAGGCCTTTGGCGCCGTTCACCTGCGCCACGTTGCTGAAGACCGTTCCGCCCAGGACCGTGGCGGCCACGGCTACGAGGGTGAAGCCCCTCCGTCCGTGCAAAAAGTCAACATGCTCTGGCCATACGATCATCTAATTCAGCAAGCTTAAGAAGCAAGCCTCTGAGCCTCTGAGCCTCTGAGGTCTGGGATACGCCCTTAAAAGAAGGGTGTCTCTGGGGTCGGCACATCCGGAAGCCGTTCGACTCGCCAGACACGAAGCCACTCAGCCTCAGTCCCCGAATTGCCCCCCAAGACAACCCCTTTCAATGTTGATCGGGCTGTCGCTCCCAACAAAAAAAGAACTGAGCCCTCCGCAGGGATGCGAAGGAGTCCCGAAAGCCACTGAAGACCAAGGGGTACGTGAAGGCCACGGAGAAGCCCATGCTCAGCCATGCCAGCATCACCTGTTCCAAAAAAAACAACAAGAGGCAACCACCGGAGCACACTGCCTTCTCTGACATTTTCCACGAATCGGGCCGGGGGTGGGCTGCGCTGCTCCCTAGCGCTGCCGCTTTCTGCAAGCGATGGGAGGTTGTCGCTGTAATCGGGATCAAAAAAAGCGGACACGGAGACGGGAGACGAGGATAAGAAGAGAACACCGCAGCCGGCTAAAGCACGCATTCCTTTCAACACACACACACACACACACCAAGAGAAAACACCCCCTATACCTCTGCCTCTGCCTCTTCTTTTGTCCCTGTCCCCCGCCTCAGGGCCGAAGCCGTAGTTCTTCAGGATGTTGCCCTCCTGGGGAGAGCCCTGCCTCCTGTGCGCCTTTTGTTTCGGAAGTTTCTCGGCTTTACAATGCTTTACATACAGATCATCAGAGCTGTCTTGCAGGCTCTCGGTCCGCTTCGTAGCCGAAGAGGGCGAAGCCGCACATCCCGAACACCTCAGATTGGGGGCACACACAGGCCGACCTCTGATTTTCCAAACTAGACGGAGCCCTTCCGACCTACGGCAGCCAGAGATCCGAAGCCTCGAAGCGAGGCGCGTTAGCAAACAGTTACTGTGGCAAACCATGTTCCGCCCCTCTTGGCGCCCATCGAGAGCCGCTTTTGGTTTCTTTGCAAGTCACGTCGCGTCTCGGAACTGGAGAACAGGCTATGACAGCTATGAGACGGGGCCAGCCCGCAGTGTCGCATTTGACAGAGAGATGGTGATACCGAAGAAAAGGGTGCATCTTGTCTCTTCCAGCCATATTGCTTTTAACTAGCAACTAGTCTTAATTATATCTTTAAATTCGTGTCTGAAGCCTCAAGAAGCCTTGTGAAGAGCCGATTGCTCCCACAAATTCCCCCCCTCCTTCCTTGGGCGCCCCTGCGACGAAGACCACCAGGGCCAAGCCGAACGCCGCGCAGACCAGGACCGCAAACTTGGGCACGGACCGGTCCTCGCTTCTTCTTTCTTCTCCCCCTCTCCCGCAAGAAGTCTCCCTCGCTCTTGCTGTTGTCTCTCTCGAAGCCTGCAGCTGGGCGTAGAACTTCGGCGCGTTGTAGTGGGCCTCAGACAACACACACACACACACACACACACACACACACACACACACACACAAGGGCCGCGAGGTTTGGGATCAAAGGCGCACCGAACCCAACAAGAGCCCTTTTCGCTCATGTGTTTTTTTGCGCACCTAACCGTCAACCTCCCTCGATTGAGGCCACCCAAAGGCATGAGTTACAGGGTGCGGCGGATTGACCGTTCCCCAGAGCCTGGGAGCCCTCTCAACCCACTATCGTAAATCCACGAGTGCTCCCTCGGGTGAACGATTTCCCGGGGTACCATTAAAGGGGGGGGGGGGCGGGTATCATTGGACCCCCCCTTCTTCGATTGCCGTATTGGGGTAGACACGCTCCTTGGCAGTCACTCACCGGCTCTCAGTCTCTCTCCTAAAAAACGGAGACTTGTCTTTCAAACTCGGCTCTTCTCCTCTTGGCGGCCGGCCATGAAGGCCGATCCAAACAGGGCCAGCGCCTCAAGGATCCGGAGAGGTGTTCTTGTTTGGTTCGAAGAGCTCCGAAACAGTTCCTTCTTTTGAAGGGTTCCTTCCTCCCAGGATTCCCCCCCGTAAAGAGAGCTCTCATTGAAGGGGGTCTGGACGAACTTCACACAGCAAAGGCCCCAAGGCCCGAGCTTGGAAGAAGTCCAGGCCTCACAGGCTGCAGACATCACTTGACATCACTTGTTGGGGACTCTCGAGATGGCCTCGAACCTCGAGAGCTTGTAGGGGTTTCTTCTAGACTCTCGTCATCTCTCGTCCAAGCCACGGAAGGGGGAGATGTTGCTCGCCAGCGGCCCCTCCGCGCCCCACCGCGCAGACCCGACAGCGTCCTTTCAGTCTGAGGTCAGGGGGGGGCCCTTTGGGGCTCTCTCTGCTGAGATGGGATTCAGGTCCTTCAGCAGCATCAGGAAGACGTAGGCCGTGGCGACAAGGCCTGTCATGACTTAGCCTGACTGAGCCTGACTGAGCCTGACTGAGCCTGACTAAGCTCTCCCAACTTGAAGCAAAAGGGCGCCTGCCATGGAAGCGTACCTCAAGGGGGCGAGGTCCTTCATCAAGGACAGGGGCACCTGGACCAGTCGCAGCTGCGGCTCGGGCTTCGGCTCTGCATCCCCAGCAGGCCGTCTTAAAGCTCTCTGGGTGATCGGCCAGCAAGCAGAAGCCAACCAGGACGAGATCGGCCCCGCGACCATGAAGCCTCGAGACCATCTCTCAAGACTCGCGGGCTTCCCTCGAGCACAAAACTCTCACGGCTCCGGTATCTTCTTTTCCAGTTCCTGGGGGGGAGTTCCAGCGTCAGACCCTTCTTTCACTTCTGAAACCGGCCGGAAGTGAAGCGGAGCTTGGAAATCTGGGGCAGCGGCAGCGGGTAGTCGGGGAGCAGACCCGTCAAGGCCTTGAGTCAGAGCCAGGACAGCCGAGCAACAGTGAGAGGACAAGAAAGGCATGAATCTGAACTTGAAACGCATTGAAACACTCAAGCGGAAACAGACAGTCCACACACACGCATTTCTTGGGCGCTTTAAGTAGGCTTCGGGATTGCGCAACTTCTCACGGTCGGGGCCTTGGAGAAGAAATCTCCGATGAGAACGCAATACCTTTGCAGGCATGTGCACAAAAAAGAAAGAACCGACAAAGCTCCAAGCATTCCGAGACTGCAGTCGTGTCAAAGTCGGGCAAGCCGAGGCGCGCAAGGCAGGCCATGCTGTTGTTCGCCAACACTGGCAGGATCGTGCAAAATGGGACATAATCAGACATAATCTTCGCGCATCCCGAGCATCGTGTCAGGTCCCGGGGGCGCATTCCAGGGCGCAGGCACCTACGAGAACTTCGGTGCCCTGCACAGGCCTGTAATGTCGGCGATCCAGGCGTTCTGCTGCCCGAAGCATTTGGCCCAGAGCTCGCCGAAGGAGCTGGCGCCGGTGACCTCACAACCCGACGGGTAACGAAGGCATACGGGCATACTCCCCGAGAGGGCGCATCGAAGGGGGCACATTTGCTCTTGGCAAAGCCTTGGAATGGGAAGCGACAGAGACCCCCCAGGGCCTCACAACACCAGCCCAGCAGGAAGAAGGTGTAGGCCTCGCAAGTGTTGCAACTCTCTCTTGGAGCGTTGCCGTTAAGTTGCCCTTAAGCCGTTTCCTTTCATGATCTTGTCATCGTACTCGGCTCCCAGTTTCGGGTGTTGCCCTCTGAGGGCGGTGCGTTCAGCACCCCGGCCAGAGTGATGCCCACGACGTAGGGGGCGAGACCCGCGCCCCGCATGGCCTCGAAAACAGAAAACGAAACGACTTGACGGAGGGGGTCGCATCTTACGAGTAGCACAGCACCGTGGCGCGACATCCTTACACCCGTCTGTTAAGCCTTCTGGGGGCGATATGCCTGGCCAGGCCCGTGCGCATAGGCCCTACACTCCCAAATCCTAAAAACCCCGGCGCAGCTGGTGCTCATCGTAATCGGGCTCGGCACGGGGCACCGCTCTCAAAGATCTTCTCCCTTCCTCCGTCCCTTGGAGCACAAACTTCTTCGTAGTCCTCTCAGGCCCGTGCCACAGGGAGCGAGAGCATGCCGGCGCCAATGATGTTCTTGGCCAGATTCAGCCTGAGCAGGCCCTGGAAATCTCAGATCGCAGCGGAACGGAGAGGAGACAGAGACAGAGAGAAAGAAGGAAAGACAGGAAAGAAAGATAAAGAAAGGAGAGTGAGAAAGAGAAGAGGACACGGCCGCAAAGGAGGCAACGAAGCTCACTCTGAGCCACGGGCACGGAGGTGACCAAAGAGCTCCGCCCCTGAAGCGTGTACGAGAGGCTTTCCCGCAAACGGACCGGGCGGGAGGACCACCAGTAAAAGAGGCGCTGTCGTCTGCAAATTACTCATAGTCAGCTTAAATGTAAACAATGATGAACTTCACAACTCGTCGTTTTCCTGAGCAAACTGCGAGAAAATGAACGAACCAATGGAATGTCTGGTGGAGCTCGAGTAAACTTAAGCAAATCTAGTACTCGCATTCCATAAACACATAAGCAAAACAAACTTAACGACATTCTATGGTTGAACTGAGCAAGAAGAGCTACATACATGTTCTGAAAATGCAATGCGTCTTAGAATCACTCGCAGAGACGCGAAAGACTTTCAAGTCTGATCGGGCGTGCGAACGCGTTTCTCGATGCTCGGGAAGTTTGAGGCTAGATCAAGAACAGATGCTACGATGTCGTAGTTCGATGACATGTTCTTTCTCAGTCTCGCGGCAGCTTGATAGACAAGGAGGCCATAGGAGGCCCACAGAATCTACCAAAGACCCCAAAGAAGTTGGAGCTCGAAGCTGAGCCGCTCGCCTCCGGTGCTTTCGAACCCGAGGCGCCTCCCATGAGCTCAGCGAACTCAAGCGAACGCAGGTTCACTCAGCGAGCCCAGAAAATATTCCGGCCGATCAGCCACATTAGCCAGTCTGCACAGGGGGCAGATCTCGGCACTCGAAATCTCCGGCCTTGCGCCGCTGCGATGCCCACCGCAGCGGCAGCGCCTCAAAGGGGTCATGGAGGCGCCCTCTGACTGTGATGAATTTGCCGTGTTCTTATTATGCCAGATTCCTACCATGCCCTGCCCTCCCTCTTTACATTTTTTCTTTTACGTTCTTGGGGGGTTTTTGGGGCTGGTTCCACGTCTTTGGCTCAGCTGCGAATCCTGGACACTCTCGGGCCCGGGCCGGCCGCGGCAATGCCGCCGGAAGATCCCGGCACAGCCTGAGAATACGAAGAAGCGACCCGAAACCATATACAGGAATACATGCTCAAGCGAGACGGAGTCCCGAATTATTGAAAGATTGCCGCCATTCGGCTGCCTGTGCCGAGCGTCCCCAAGACGGGAGGCCGCGAAGACACAAAGCCCTCAGCCCTCAGCACTCAACCCTCAACCCTACGCGCTCGATAAGTGCCAGAAGCCGTAGCAAAATGCCTGCGAGGCAGCGAAAATATGAAAGCCCCAACGACTCCATAGACCCGCCCCTCGGCACCACCCAAAAGCACCTAAAAGCACCCAAAGGCACCCCAACTCCAAAGTTTGCGGAACCAGAGAGTTGAGCTTGCGGCGGCCACAGGTTGACCGTCCCCTGCGCGCTTCAGCAAAGTCGCGTTCTTCTGCGTTTTAAGATTTAAGAAAATAACTCTTCTCTATAGGAAGGGTGTAGGGAATGGTGCTCGCTGACGGCTCATGTAGATGGAGCCTGCATGATCAGGCTGCCAATAAACCAAGACTGCCAATGCAACCTGGCGGCAGCCAGCGAAGGAAGAGAGAGAGAGAGGGAGAGAGAGAGTGAGAGTGAGAGTGAGAGTGAGTGAGAGAGAGAGAGAGAGTGAGAGTGAGAGTGAGAGTGAGAGTGAGAGTGAGAGTGAGAGTGAGAGTGAGAGTGAGAGTGAGAGAGAGAGAGAGAGAGTGAAGGAGACAGAGAGAGAGAGAGAGAGAGAGAGAGAGAGTGAGCGAGAGAGAGACGGAGATCTAACCTCCCACCTCCAATGCGTGACACTCTCCCAGTACATTCCTCTCGCGCGTCCCTCAAAGTCCCTTGAACATGTGGGACCCCGGCCGCAAGCAGCACATAATAGCGATGGCGCCGGCCGGCGAGACACCTTGGGCAAGCTTCGGGTGACGAAAGCAAGTAGAAAGGCCAATCTGGGAAGCTCTGAAAAGGGTGTGGAAGATGGCTACCGTCTCTACAGTTGTGCTGAGGAGACCCTGCTGAGGGAACCCCCTTCCGAGATCCCGCACCTTCTGGGCCAGTCGGTGCCGTTGCACCGTCCGTCCAACAAGGGCCGCCATCGCTGGCGCATGTCGGGCTTCTGACTGCGACGATGCTCTGCCTCCCTCTGAAGCTGGATCTCCCTCGTCACTCCGCTTGTCCTTTGCCTCGGAACGGGCGCCTGCTTCTCAAGCCTTTCCTTCCCTCCTCGCGGTCCTCGCGCGAGGAGGAAGCCGGAAGCGGCTCGAGCCAGGAGCGCGGCCACGTACGAAGAGGAAGGATAAGGGGGTGAGAGATGGGGTGAGAGATGGGGAGAGGATATGGAAAAGGAAGAGGGAGAAGAGGGAGAGAAGAGGGGGAGAAGAGGGAGAGAAGAGGGAGAGGAAGGAAAGCAAAGTGGCGAACAAAAAACTGAGAGAAGGGGAGGGGGGGGGGATGCGTGTAGGAACATCAGCGGAGGAGACGGAGGCAGCTTCGCCCGCGCCTCCGCACCTCTTGGAGCAGGCGCTCCCCGGCCTCGGAGAACAAAAAACATAGAGAGTGAGAGAGAGAGAGAGGGAAAAAGAGAGAGAGAGAGAGAGAGAGAGAGCGGGAGAGAGCGAGAGGAAAAAGGAGAGGAATCCAGATGTTTTCACGTTTAATTTGACTTCGGAAGCAACAACCATTTAAAGCGGGAGGGGGACTAAACGGGACCAGGAAAAAAACGAGGTATTCGGTGGCGAGCGTGCCTCCAAAGGAGTACTGCAAGGGGGACTGCGTGTGGTGAGGCGTTTTGTGCTGGCCCGGCCTCGGCCATGCCGCCAGAGAACCTCAGATGACGAACACGCGAGGACAGAGCGATCTGAATCCACAAAGAGCAAGAAGAGCAGAACTGAGAGGAAAGCAAAAAACCGGGGCAAAGAAGCCGCGGCCGAGGCGCAAGATAACCGCGGGGTCCACAAAGCGGCAGCAGTTGATGCAGCCGATCGCCAGGTACCTGTCTGAGAAGGGACCACGAGAACGAGAGAGAGAGAGAGAGACAGAGCGAGAGAGAGAGAGAGAGAGGCGCATTCCTAAAAACATTACGACGTGAGAAATCTTGCAGGTTGTCAAGCATTTTGAAGCTGTGGGGTCTTGGTGCAAGGGCTTTTTGCTCACGGGCCCTGGGGCCTCGCGGTTTCCCTCACGAGCTCCTGAGCGTAGGCGTCGCCCTGCTCCGCGTGCTGGAAAACTGCTTCGCAGTCCAAGGCCTCACGCCAACGCACGCCCACACACCCCAACTCACGTGAGTGTTGTGAGTTCTTCGTCTCCTTTCCTGGTATTGCAATCTGTGTGAGGACTCGGGAATGCGAAGGCTGGACGCATGTCGTGACAAAGGGCGGGGCCTCCAGCTTGCTCAAGGAGGAGCTGGGAACCATCCCTTCCTTCGCGCGCGCCACCTCAGAGAACTCTTTGCCCAAAAAAAGGAAATCCCCCGTCGCAAATCATCTGAAAAGATGCCTCTCTGTCCAAGAGCGCGCTTCTTCTGCCCGTAACAAAATGAGTGCTCACCCTCTGTCTTGTGAGGGCCGCACACAGACTTAAACCGATAGAGTGAGCAAAACACGGCACCGTCCCCGCAAGGCCATGCTGGAAGAGCCAGAAGCTTGCTGGAAGAGCCGGGAGCTGGGCCACGGCGCTGGCGCTTGCGTAGCCTTCGAAGATTCCTGCCCTGCCAGTGTCATAGGGTTGTGGGGGAGGAAAAGGGTCAGGAGAGGGTCACCACCAGCTTCCACGCGCTGACACCGTGCGTCACCGTGCACTGGGGATCACTGGGCTCCCCGGCACGCCAGCTCGGCCAAACTCGCGGCCGTCGGGGATCAGGATGGCATGGCCTGCGCAGCCAGCACCGAAAAAACACAGCGCACGGAGCGAAACCGGCGAAACCATGGGGCCAATTGCTCCACGCAGTGGCTGTGGCTGTGAATTTAGTTGAGGCCGCGGCCCACTTCGCCTGCTTGGCCGCGGCTGCCTCGAAGAAGTCGACCATCGCACCTGAAATCAACGAGTCAGAACAGATACGAACTTCTGCGCAAAGGTGAAAAGCACCTCCCTTCCACTCTGGGGGAACACGCAAGCCCACAATGGACAGTCAATCAGCACGCGATATCTTGACCTGCGTCTGACTGCAGTCAGCACGCATGATCGCGGCACCGATGCCCGTGCCCAGCGAGAGCAGCACAATCTGAGCTGCAAAGACTGTGGACAGAGGGATCGCCGAGATCAGCCTACTCGATTGGAACCCACGAGGAAGCTGAAAATGTTGGTCCAGACCGCTCCAGGGGCCGCGCATCGTGCAGGCCGACCGCTCTCCCCACCCACGCCTGCCGCAGCCAGGGCCTACGCTTTAGACCTATGCTTTTTTTGTCCTTGAAGGGATTTGAAGGGAGCTTTCGGATCTTTCGGGCTGTTGGACTTCGGCACGCTTTACATATATCTATATACATACATATATATATATATATATACATATAGTTGAAAAATGCTATTTAATTATTTATGTATTGACTTAATTTTGTTTGCGCATACTATCGGATTTCAGAGCCCAGAGGACGGCATCTCGGGCGTTCCCACTGCCTCCGCCAACAATGCTGCATTGGTGTCGTGCTCCAGGGTCACCCGGGACGTCTCCCAGCCAAGCTCCTCGAGCAGGACTCTCTGATTCTGCGCAGTGGGCCCCCCCAAGCACATCGCCATCTGTGTCCGAGGGTTCCCGACAGCTTTGAGGGAGCGCAATGGCCAGTTTTTTGAGGGAACTTGTCGCAAGAGGAGAGCAAAGGGCGTTTATCTGTATCCGCTTTCTAGCTGCTATGCGACATCATTTCCACCTGTGGCGCTGACTGGGTTCAGGATTTCGGTGCTCCTCGGCCAGCAGCTTTACCAGTGGCACCTCGCAAGTCCCAGCACTTGACATGCCCTTGAGCACACGAGAACAAGCATCGCACGAGACGCCCCGAACACATCGGAAGGGCCTTTGTCCACCCCTTGAGGTTGGCGGCCGTCACGGCCCCCGCCTCAAGGTCCAGCAGGCCCGGGGTGCAAACCTTGGGCCACGGGATTAAAAGAACGAAGGGCTTCCTGAGTGGAAAAAAGAAAAGCAGAAAAATTACAAAGACAAGATCACAGAAATGAAATAGAAGAAATGCACAATGAAAGAAAACAAAAAAGGTGACGCAAAACAAAGAAGAAGCAAAAAACTCAACTTTGGCGGCCTCATACTGTCTGTTACAGTAGTCGCTGCACCGCAGACTGCACTGGAGGACCCTGAGCCGAGGGGCGCCCAGGCCCTGCACGTCGCACCAAGCCCGGCCGGTTTGGCGCAGGGCCTCCTCTTTTTGTTGAATGTGAATGAGGGGGCGAAAGCGGCTGCTCTCGAAAAATACCCAGTGGAGAGAGAGAGAGAGAGGGAGAGGGAGAGGGAGAGAGAGAGAGAGAGAGAACGAGAGCGAGAGCAAGAGCGAGAGCGAGAGCGAGAGAGAGAGAGAGAGAGAAAAAAAGAGAGAGAGAGAGAGAAAGAGGGAGAAAGAGAGAGAAAGAGAGAGAAAGAGAGAGAAAGAGAGAAAAGAGAGAAAGACAGAAAGAGAGAAAGACAGAAAGAGAGAAAGACAGAAAGAGAGAAAGAGAGAAAAAGAAAAAAACGAAGACTCCAAAACGACACGCACGACGTTTGTGTTTGATCTCTCTCTGGTCTGCATTCTTGATTTTTGCAACGGGGAGCCAGCTTTCCACAATGTTGAATGGCAGGGGCTTCAATTGATTTGTGCTGACATATTCCTACACACGTATACAGTACACATCATTATTCAAAAACCACTGATTATAGACTATAGACCACACCTACTCGCACATCTCGCCCTTTGCGCATCATTGAGGATGAATCTCCGAACTTGCGGAAACTGACCAAGACGTTCTTTTGGGTCTAACGGAACAAGCAGCGCTATTCAATTCTTGCCCATTTGCGAACTAATGCGATGTTTTAATTCAATTGTTATATGAATGAGACTGCGTAGTGACCGCGCAGTGACCGCGTAGTGACCGCGTAGTGATGGCGTAGTGTCCTCTGCGCAGGCGACACCCCCCCACCCCCCCCCCCGTTGTGCGACGGTGGCTGGGTGCGCTAGGGGGGGGGGGGGGGGGAATTGGGGGGGGGGGGGGGGGGGGAGGGGGTAGGGGGGGTGGAAGTGTCCAATTAAATTGTTTAATGGTTAGTTCTGGCTTGCCTGGGATTTCCAAATAGTTAAATTAATTTAGATTTTTTTGAAAAATTTCGTTGGGTCCCATTAAACAGTTTGAATCCGAGGCCACCTTCACTCGGCGGGAAGATCGCAGAAGCCATGCGGCGGATGCGGTGGTAGCTGTTGACGAGGCCGTTTTGGCAGAAGCGGCGCTTTGCACCACCCCCACGATTTTCTCGTGGTTGTCTCAGCACAACAAGGTGATCTCAGCCTGGCGAGCAATCTACTTTGAGAGTCGCCAACGAAATAGACCCAGTGCGTGCGATTCCTTCGGCCAAGGTGCTGTCCCAGCCGCTTCAAGCTTGCGGAGCAAAGCCGTTACGACCTTTTTGTCCCGGCTGGCTTGCACCTTGATAACATGAGCAGCGTGCGACAGGACTCAACACTGGCGGCTCCGTGTTTTGCAGGCGTAGGGCGTAGGTGACGGCGTAGTGACCTCGTAATGACCGCGTATAGTGACCGCGCAGTGGCCGCGTAGTGACTGCAGAGTCGCTAGTCCACGAACAAGCCCATATTTCACTGAGTAGCTTGCAGAATTATGTTGTTGTTAGTTACGTCTGCTTAAAAGCAACATAACAATTCTGGAGTGCGGGGATACTGTATAGCAGACCTGATAGCAATCCATCGGATTTTGCCAATGCTTTTCTTCATTGTTGTTTTTCGTGTTTGTTTAAAAGCTGGATTCTTCATTGTTGTTCTTCGTGCTTTTTAAAAGCTGGAGTGTGGATACAACAGAACGCAACCATCACAGTTCTTCATGCTCCAAACCGCGGCAATGTTTCGACCTTGCTGGAAAACGCGGATCGACACGCTACACACGGAGAATTTATGGAACAAATCGGAAGGAGTTGGTCTGAATTTTGTTCGAATAACACGATGAAGGCTGGAATGTGCGGATACTGCGGAACAGAGCTCATAGAACAAACATCTGAATCTTTCCACATTTGAGCCGCGGCGTGGTTGCGAGACATTGTTTTCGCTGCTTTGAAAAGGATTTGAACAAAACTGCGAGCGATTGACCCGCGATGTAAGCCGAGTATCTGGGCAGATCGGCATGCTATACACGGAGATACGCGGAGTACCTAGCGGCTTTAGCCAACCAGCACCCTTAGCCACCCTCTCTTCCCTCTCCTCGAGGAGGCCGCGGATGCGTTGGGCAAGGCTTTCGGGTCGGTGGTCCTCCCCGACGGCCTCCATCCTGCTGCCCGCTTTTTGCTTTGCAAAACTTTGTATGAAAAAAACAAGAAGAACAGGAAGCTTCATTATGTGCTTCATTCATCTGCCATATGGATGGGGGGTGTGGCAAACTCCGAGAGGGCTCTCTCCATCGTTCTGGGGCGAGCGGCTGCTTTGCGAGGAGCCGCCCGTCAGCAGAGATCAGGCCGGTGGCGATGGTCGTGCCGCCCAAGTCCTCTGACACAAGAAGACAAAAAAAACTCACATCAAGAACAGTGGACTCAGCTCAGTGTGGACTCTCTAGTAGCACAACAAGCGTCCACACCAGCCAGCAGAGGGCCATCGCCATCATGGCCATCGCCTGCGATCGATGCTTCCTTTCGTTTCGCTCGGTTCTTCAGTTCATATGCGGGGTGCAGGTGCCAAGGCTTCCAAGGCAAACTCTCATCTCTCAGAGCTCTCACCTGGTGCCGGCCGCTTCTGCCCTTGGGCCATTGCGCTGGGCCACAAACGGACGGCACCTACACCATGCTTGGCTTGCACAATAGCTTGGCTTAGCTGCTAAGCTTTTCGCCTGCCTGAAGTTGCGAGTCTGATCTCGGTAGGAGAGGCTGCAGCATGCCAGAAAGCATGCCCGATGGCATGACGAAGCAGCTGTTGAAGCAAACCGGCCATTCGAAAGAGAGGCGCATCCACGCTTCATGCCCATTCTTACGGTCTTACAAGAAAAGGTGAGCCCGACAGTCCAAATCCCTTTAGTAAGCGACCCGAACCTTCGACCCCACCCACACACCCAGACACAGACACACAAATGAGCGCTCTGGGACTGCAGCTTTTGAGAGCTTTTTCTGATGTTTCGTGGTCTGTGGGCAGAGTTGCACGTCGCCTGTACAGAATGCCTTGCACCCTGAACCCGAAGACCGCCCCCCCACAATCCACTTGGGCAAAGATAATCAGATGTGCAAAGATCCGCGAAGACCGCACCGACGTGCGGGGCCCCCAACCCCTGTGGAGAACCACCAGCCTCAAACCCTCGGGGGCGGCACCCAGAGCCCTGCCCCTGGGCCTGCAAAAGGCCCGTAAAAGGCATGGGCGAAGCATGGGGTGAATTTGCGCAGTCGCCTGTGCTCTGAGGACGTGCTACACTGCCTTTGGCATCTTGGGCCTATAGGCCTTGGGAGTTTTTTCACAGCTTAACACCCAGCCCTGGAAAGCATCTGGCACGGCTGAACGGCTGCGCAAAAGGGAAATCCCGGGTCTTCACGAGCCTCGTTACGAATACACTCAGACCGCCTGGATGCAGACTTTCGAGTTTTTTGGGGGGGGTAAAGAGTGTAGTGTCCGAAACAGCGACCTAAGGGCTCCCGGAAGACGCAAAGCCAGAAGACAAGGCTTCGGAAGCCCGGGCAGGTATGCGATGTGGCCCTCGTGTCCAAGCAACCCTGCTCATGCGCTGACAACCTGCTTCAACTCGCCTAAAGGCCTAAGGGGTGTGGTGGCTGAAGGTGGCTGAAGGGCTGAAGGCTGGGTTGCAGGGCACATTGGTTCGGGCCGCCTGACTGGATGCGCACGCTTCCACTTGGCGGCAAAAAATTGAGAGGTACCTACATCTCGTGCACCGGGCTGGAAGTCGCGGCATGTGTCTCAGACCGGCTTCATCCGTAGTCCAAAGGCAACTTCGCCCAACGGGCAAATCGAGGAGACTGTCCCGCACTGTCCCTCCGCACTGTCCCTCCGCACTGTCCCTCCGCCCCCCATTCCCCTTGCACATTCCCCACACCCCCGTCTCGCATCCCTTTTGAGGGCGAACCTCGGACAGAGGCCTCCTGGAGGCCTCTACTCAGCCTCAGGCACTCAGGCACTCAGGCACTCTGGTGCCGGCGCAGGGGCGGGCAGCCGCGCCGGTCGCTACGCCTCGGGGCGCCAGCGGGGGCAGATGGGCTCATGGGATGACATGAGATGGCTCACGAGGCTCACGGGATCTCAGGCGCCCCCCAGTCCAGTGTGGCGCTAAAGGGGCGGGCCTCTTGCGGGTCCCGCCACTCCGAGGTCGCACCTCAAGAGGGGAGCGAGCACTCAGACTCTACTCAAACCATACTTGTAAACTTGTCAGTAGGATCTGAGAGCACTTTGCGAGCTTTCGAACCCGAGTCCGGTGCCAGCTCCAGTGCCTCTTTGTCGTCGCCTTGGGACAAAAGACAAAAGACACGTGCTGCGGAGAATACAGATGGAGTCAAGAAAGAGAGAGTCAAGACAATGGTAAGAAGATGAAGCGGTGAAAGATTTGGGCATCCGTGCGGTCAGCGCTCGCGCTTGGCGACTTCCTGGGGCGAAGGAGCGCTTCTTTTCTCTGAGAAAGCCCTCAGCCAGCCCCCCAAAGCCCAGCGAAAAGGAGAGGAGGAGTTGACTTTGAAAAGTGGAGAGATCTTTCTTCAAGAGGCCCGGGCAACGAGGGCAAGGCGCCCTGGCAGCTCAGCGCCCAGGCCTCTCTGCTTTCAGAGAGGACAGCACATGGGCGGGAAAGGTGACAGGTAAAGAGACGTAACAGACCTCTTAACTTCTCAACGGCTCTCAGTCTTAAGAGGACTTCCTGCAAAGCAGGGGCACCTTTGTCACAGCTCTTCCGAGCCGGGCCGTAGCTGCATCGTCCCGGCTCAGTGCACGCCGGAGTGCCTCAAAACACCACCGTGACACCACCGCTTCGCTTCTGCATCTGCGACACAGGGACAGAGACACACAGCCCTGCAAAGAAATGCTCCGGATGTGCTCCACCTGTGCATCCCATCTTGCCTTGGACAGCTCCAGCTGGCACGAGTGTGTAAAGCCAGCATAGGCCATGGCCTCAGAGCCGCGCCGCTCCGCACTAAACACCTTCGTTTTTCAGCGCCGGGCCTGCTGTGACTGAGTGAGCCGGCGCTCCTGCGCGCAGGGCTGGGCCATCCGCTCCCACTAACTTCACAGACTTGCTCGTGTTCGGCGTCGTGTGGACGTCGAGTTCAGTATTGCTACGACATTCTACAGTTTCTACACACATTCGAAAAGGATCAGGGGAACAAAGCGTTGCCTATCAGACCCCTCTGCAGATCACGGGCTCCTCAAGCGGCCATGCGCCAGAAAGTCTCTCTTTTCCCTGACCTGGGCCAGTTGACGGTTGAAGTTGAAGAAGCGTCGGGTCCTCTTCAAGTTTATAATGGGTCACGTGGATAATCTGATGCTTCTCCGGGTCGTCTGTCGAAGTCTGTGCATGCCCGCAAGTCGAAAACCGTTAAGATAGAGCCTCGCGCCTGATGCCGAACGGCAATGCACCCTGCGTCATCACGAAGAAGAATGGCACCCGGCAGTGCGTTTGAGACCGCTTAGTCCAAACCATCAAAGCTTGAGTCAAAAATTCTCGAGAAGATCAAGCCTCAGAGCATCCCCTGAAGTTCGGGAAGGTACGGGAAGATGACGTGCACACTGAGTCTCAACTGTCTCAACCCAAGGTCGCATCTGGAAAAAAGTGTGACCGTCGCATCTTACAGAGAGGGATTTGTCCAAAAGCGCAAAAGTCATGAGGTGCCGACCGCCAGAGAGGGACGGAAGCAGAACCCGCACAAGTCTCTCAGGCCTGGCAAACAGATGGTCACAGTGTCACCGTTGGCCCGACATCCGAATACAGAGCTTCCTCGAGAAACCTCAAAAACCGCCCCTCAGAGAACGCCTCGGTCGGAGCTCCAAGCCGTTGAGGACCGCCGTCAGCTCGTTCTGAGGGCGTGCGGAAGGGGCGCGAGAAAGTCGGGTCAGGGAGTGGAGTGGAGCGCTCTTGACATAGACTCTGGACAGTCCGTGTGAGCGTGTGCCTGCAAGGCGGCCGCAAAGGTCTCCACTCGACTCTGCGAGAGTGGACTTCGTCCCATTTCGACCTGTGCATGCTCAGAAGACACGACACGAACAAGCGCCTCCGCACGTTGCAGCACTGCGAGCACATGGCGCCTCGTGGCGCATTGCCGCCAAGCCCACCGTCAAGTGTGAGGGTGTCGCAGGCCTTCAACAGCCAAAGAGAGAAGGCTGAGAAGGCGCCTTCCATAATTCCATCGGCCCATCCTTTCCGTGTCTACTGGAATGTCTTGGAGTCCTGGAGCTCTCTACATATACCGGGCCGCTACCGAAATCTCGAAAAGACTCGGGGCGCACTCAAAAGGGTACTCGGAGGGGTGCAGCTCGGGGCCCGGCGGATCCTTGCAGCCGTGGACGTCGATGTGAAGCAACGGCCGCGGGTGCCCCTCCTTCCCACGAACTCCCCCGACGTCGGACAGAATCTCCAAAAAACAACCCTTGAAAAGCCCTTCAAAGTGAGACCGCCCAGCGAAGCGTGGCGAAGTCAACACGGTCAGGCTGGAAGTCACGCTGGCGAGCGTGTGCTCCTTGCCGTGGCGCCACTTGTCCGCGAACCTGCGAGCCCCCCCCAGTGGACGGAATAAGGGGACAAAGGGATACAAAGGGGACGGAAACTACGGTGGCCGTGGCCTCGCCATTTGGCGGAACCACGGATTCTGCGCCACCTCCTCGTTGAGCAAGTAGTTCCTTGCCCGCACAGTGCTGACAAACACGAATCACCTAATCACCTAGTGTTTACTCGAATTTGGACAAGGCCAAGGGGTGTGTGAAAAAACAAACATGGCCCGACGACAAAAAACAGAACTCTCCGCCGGACTCCGCCGGGCTCCGCCGGGCGTCGGGTCGCGGTTCGGCTCAAGGAAGCGGCTGAAGTCCTCGGCCTCGCCAACAAAATCTTCGGCCACTTCTAAGGCTCTCTCAGAGCTCTGAGCCACACGCTGACCCATGCTCTGACTCATACTCTGACTCATACTCTAGCTCCCTCTCGGCGGAGCTGTCTCCGCCTCGCCGCAGCGGAGCCGCGCCAGGCACCAGTGCAGCTCCGACCTCTCTGACAAAGAGATGGGAGAGGCAGAGAGGGAGAGAGGGAAAGAGGGAGGAGAGAGGGAGAGGGGGAGAGAGGGAGAGAGGGAGAGAGGGAGAGGGGGAGAGAGGGAGAGAGGGAGAGAGGGAGAGGGGGAGAGAGGGAGAGAGGGAGAGAGGGAGAGGGGAGAAGAGGGGGAGAGAGGGAGAGAAAAAGAGAGGAAACGAAAAAGACAAAGAGAGACGCCGGCACACGCAGACAAAGACACACAATGTCACACAGCGGCGACCTAGGACTCCGCGTTGCAAAACGCTGGCGGGATGGGGAATTTGGAAGGGTGCAGAGCGATGGTTCTTGCTGCAGGCCTTTTCTGCTCGGCTCGGCTCCAGGACAGTGAGGTGCCACCTCTCGCAACGGAACTTGGACTATGTGACTCAGCCGGACTTCTCAGGGCGCTGCAAGACGTCAAGCGCAAGAAGGCCCCGGCCAAGATGTCTCGCCATCCGCTGGGCGATGAGAGTCGTGTACTCCTGCAAGATTTTTCTGCAGGAATGTGGGAGCTCTGGCGCACAAAATACTCCTCAATTGGGGCTCCTCCATCATGTGGGGTGGCTGCCCATCCCTGCGGAGGTAGATGTTGTGAGGGGCCTGGGTTCGAGAGATCGCATGTGGGGAGCAGTCCGGGAGCAGCTTATGCATTTTTTGGGGGCTCCGGACCGTCAGGAGCACCGGCTGCCCGCCCTCCACGGAGACTTCGATACACTGCCGCACGCGGACCTGAAAAAATGAAAAAACATGGGAACGAGTTAAAGGGAATGAGAGAAGGAGAGAAGTAGAGAAGAGAAGGGAAGGGAAGGGAAGAGCCCGAAGGACCCCTCGCGCGCAAGGTGCGCCCCAAGTCCGGTTCCTTTGTCAGACTTCCCTCAACAATGGCAGCCTTTGTGTTTTTTGTGCCTCTTCTTCTTCCTCTTCTTCTTCTTCCTCTTCTTCCTTTTCTGCCTTTTCTTCCTGTCATTCCTTTTCTTCCCGGACCTTCCTTTTCTTCCTTTTCTTCCTTTTCTTCCTTTTCTTCCTTTTCTTCCTTTTCTTCCTTTTCTTCCTTTTCTTCCTTTTCTTCCTTTTCTTCCTTTTCTTCCTTTTCTTCCTTTTCTTCCTTTTCTGCCTTCTTCGCCTTCTTCTTGTTGTTCTTCTTCTTCCTCTTAAAACCCTATGACGCCCATGAACCTGTGCTGGGAACGTAATCGTGGCTCGGGTCTGAACAACATGTACCGGTCAGTTTCGTGACTTCACAATTGTCCTGAGGCCTGGCAAGATGTTTAAAGAGTTGAAATTAGCTCGAACAACATTGACCGGTCAGCTTCGTGACTTCACAACCTTTCCGCACAAAAAGAGGACTTGTTTTGGCTCTGAGCTCACGCCACGACCAAATAACTCGCGCCAAGTTTAAAAAGCCATAGCTAGGGTTCTCTGCAGGGCGCGAGCGATTTGGTAATGGTCGCAGTTTTTGTCACAGACATTTTTGACACGGTCTTTTCGCACATACCCCTTCGTGCCATAAGGATTGTGAATACGCCTTTGGCTGTTCATAGAATGCTTGTAATCTCATGAAGGGATAAACATCTCAATTTACTTAAACCACCCTCTGCCCAAAAAAGGTGGTTACCTAAACATCTGGACTGTGGGCAAGTTATGGTTGACGATTACGTTACCAGCACAGTTTTTGGGCAGGCTATGGAGCCATCGTGGGACTAGTATCCCGTTGTGTCAAGATTCCCAGGAAACCCAAAAAACCTGTGTGCTGGTAACGGAATCGTGGCTCCATAATCTGTCCCCTAAAAGAGGTTAGTTGTCCGGACAACTGGTAGGGGGGAAGCTTTAAGCAACTAGCACCCGGCACGAGCTATTTGGTCGCTGGCGCGAGCTATGAGGGGAGGTTTTGTCCCAACTCTGCGTGCTTTGCGAAAAGGTTCTAAACATCCAGGGCTTTTAACCCTGAGACACCCCAGGGGCTCTTCCCACAAGGCGATAATCTCAGTTTACTTGAACCACGCGTAGGAGCACGTCATGGCACTTTTTCTGTGGTTGCCCCAAGAAGAGGCAGCAAGTCATAACGTGTTGTGTGCAATCAAGAAAATATCTGTAGTATTCCTTTCGAACGCGTCAACCACGTCATGATTTCCGCACCTCTACTGGGGGAAGACACAGCAGCACACGCAACAAACAAAAACCATGACCTGCGAACGCCCCTTCAATGTTGCAGGATGATGGGGCCACGATTACGTTACCAGCACAGTTTTGGGGCAGGCTGTGGAGCCATCGTGGGACTAGTAAAACACGTTCCCTAAAAAAGGTGGATACCCAAGCATCTGAAACCCTACGAGCACCAAGGGAGGGGACATACGACAAACCTCTACGACCCGCAGGCCCTCACAGCCATCGTGGGACTAGTACAACACGTTCCCTACAAAAGGTGGATACCCAAACATCTGAAACCATACGAGCACCAAGGGAGGGGACATACGGCAAACCTCTACAGCGTCACAGGGCGCCTTTGAAAAGCCAGTTCAGGGTTTGGATGCAAGGAGTGAGTTCTTATTTAAGGGGATGTGAGGCCCGCGGCCGCACCCATCCGAATTCTAAGTTGCGTGTTGTGTTGAAATTGTGGCTCTTGGCCAGAAATAGCTGACGGTTCGTAGCCGGGCCGCACCCATCCGAATTCTAAGTTGCGTGTTGTGTTGAAATTGTGGCTCTTGGCCAGAAATAGCTGACGGTTCGTAGCCGGGCCGCACCCATCCGAATTCTAAGTTGCGTGTTGTGTTGAAATTGTGGCTCTTGGCCAGAAATAGCTGACGGTTCGTAGCCGGGCCGCACCCATCCGAATTCTAAGTTGCGTGTTGTGTTGAAATTGTGGCTCTTGGCCAGAAATAGCTGACGGTTCGTAGCCGGGCCGCACCCATCCGAATTCTAAGTGTTGAAATTGTGGCTCTTGGCCAGAAATAGCTGACGGTTCGTAGCCGGGCCGCACCCATCCGAATTCTAAGTTGCGTGTTGTGTTGAAATTGTGGCTCTTGGCCAGAAATAGCTGACGGTTCGTAGCCGGGCCGCACCCATCCGAATTCTAAGTTGCGTGTTGTGTTGAAATTGTGGCTCTTGGCCAGAAATAGCTGACGGTTCGTAGCCGGGCCGCACCCATCCGAATTCTAAGTTGCGTGTTGTGTTGAAATTGTGGCTCTTGGCCAGAAATAGCTGACGGTTCGTAGCCGGGCCGCACCCATCCGAATTCTAAGTTGCGTGTTGTGTTGAAATTGTGGCTCTTGGCCAGAAATAGCTGACGGTTCGTAGCCGGGCCGCACCCATCCGAATTCTAAGTTGCGTGTTGTGTTGAAATTGTGGCTCTTGGCCAGAAATAGCTGACGGTTCGTAGCCGGGCCGCACCCATCCGAATTCTAAGTGTTGAAATTGTGGCTCTTGGCCAGAAATAGCTGACGGTTCGTAGCCGGGCCGCACCCATCCGAATTCTAAGTTGCGTGTTGTGTTGAAATTGTGGCTCTTGGCCAGAAATAGCTGACGGTTCGTAGCCGGGCCGCACCCATCCGAATTCTAAGTTGTGTGTTGTGTTGAAATTGTGGCTCTTGGCCAGAAATAGCTGACGGTTCGTAGCCGGGCCGCACCCATCCGAATTCTAAGTTGCGTGTTGTGTTGAAATTGTGGCTCTTGGCCAGAAATAGCTGACGGTTCGTAGCCGGGCCGCACCCATCCGAATTCTAAGTTGCGTGTTGTGTTGAAATTGTGGCTCTTGGCCAGAAATAGCTGACGGTTCGTAGCCGGGCCGCACCCATCCGAATTCTAAGTTGCGTGTTGTGTTGAAATTGTGGCTCTTGGCCAGAAATAGCTGACGGTTCGTAGCCGGGCCGCACCCATCCGAATTCTAAGTGTTGAAATTGTGGCTCTTGGCCAGAAATAGCTGACGGTTCGTAGCCGGGCCGCACCCATCCGAATTCTAAGTTGCGTGTTGTGTTGAAATTGTGGCTCTTGGCCAGAAATAGCTGACGGTTCGTAGCCGGGCCGCACCCATCCGAATTCTAAGTGTTGAAATTGTGGCTCTTGGCCAGAAATAGCTGACGGTTCGTAGCCGGGCCGCACCCATCCGAATTCTAAGTTGCGTGTTGTGTTGAAATTGTGGCTCTTGGCCAGAAATAGCTGACGGTTCGTAGCCGGGCCGCACCCATCCGAATTCTAAGTGGCGTGTTGTGTTGAAATTGTGGCTCTTGGCCAGAAATAGCTGACGGTTCGTAGCCGGGCCGCACCCATCCGAATTCTAAGTTGCGTGTTGTGTTGAAATTGTGGCTCTTGGCCAGAAATAGCTGACGGTTCGTAGCCGGGCCGCACCCATCCGAATTCTAAGTTGCGTGTTGTGTTGAAATTGTGGCTCTTGGCCAGAAATAGCTGACGGTTGGTAGCCGGGCCGCACCCATCCGAATTCTAAGTTGCGTGTTGTGTTGAAATTGTGGCTCTTGGCCAGAAATAGCTGACTTCTTCTTCTACAACAGGGATTGAGGGGCGAGAACAACCCCGCCGCCCCTCTCTCTCTCTCGCTCTCTCGCTTTCGCTTGCTGCAAGCGTAGCGCACATATGGGGCCTGGGGGCAAGCCCTCTTTCAGCGTGCATGTCTCTCTCTGGCTTGCTTGCTGCACGAGGCCCGAGGGAGGGCTGCCCGGGACGGGGGCATGAGTCCCAAGGTCTGTTTCAGATCGCCACGTCAGTCGTGGCACCCCGCGCTGTCGACGAGGGTGTTCACTGCCCTAACTGCTCCAGGTGATCATCATTACCAAGGCCGTGACACCCTCATTCGGCAGCAACAATGAAGCGAAAGAACGAAGCCCCAAGCCCGAAGTCATCTCTCTCGCTCTCTCTCTCTGAGGACCTCGAGCTGCTCGGCGAGCCAGGCCAGCGCCTCGGCCTCTTCTTTCGGAGGGAGAGAGCGTCAGGGAGGGTCTCAGGGACTCGCCTCTCGAAGGGGCTCTTCTTGTTAACTCTCCCTTCTGCTGCCGTGCCTTCAGCCCTCGGCAGCCGCCCTCCTCCAGCAGCTGGTTGAGCCGGCACCTCAGACTTTCAGGGAGCACCTTGTGGGGAGAGGCACACGTGTTCACCCCCCCCCACCCCCCCGCCCCCGCGGCTGTGTCCCCACTCCGCCATGCCGCAAAGTCCCCACTTTGCCTTGCTCCGCCAAGTGCCCCCCCCCCCATTTCCTTCTCTTCCTTCATTCCTCCAAGGCACTTTCCTCCAACGCGGTCGTTCAACGCCGTCAGGAGTGCCTGCAGCGCGGCACTGCCGTCGAGGTACCAGCAACGACCGGCTACGCATCGAACCGTAGACACGAAGGCTGCGAAACACGCGAAGACGGTGATGAGCAATCATGCAATCGTGAACAAGAGCCATGGCCACGCTAGGCCCATCAGAAGACGGAAGTGGCTATTTCGCAACTGCCGAGCAAACAAAGCAGCGTTGCAGCTGCGAAGCGGACATGAATGCAAGCGCACGATGAAAGGACACCGTGCAGGGGCCTGCGCGGAGCAGATGCCGCATTGCACGAGCCTGCGCCAAGATAAAATTGCAGAGAGGTGGTCTTGATTATCACCTGCAGATACGGCGTCCTGTGGTAGGCAGCTTCCCGATCATCTCGAGACCACTTCAGCTGCATACTGTCCTGTCGTCTCTCGCAAAGAATCGAACCAAAAAAAGAAGAGCTGCACACCCGTGTTCAGGAGAGGATGAAACAAGAGGAGAAGAGATTTCTACGGAGTCAAACTCGGGCTCGGTGGACTCGCGTGGCTTCTTGGTGCCAACCTTCGTGCGCTTTACAGGTCGCAGTTGTCATTAAGGAATAAGCTGGAAGTTCTTTGTCACGCTGAACTGCGCGCGGCACGGGCACGAGGCCCTCGAAAGCTCCAAACAATAAGAGAAGCCGAAAGGCATCCGACAAAAGGCTTGAAGGCTTCCGCGAAAGATGCTCTACGTATACGTATATATTGTGTAGAGAGAGGGAGATATATATATATATGTATATGTATGTATGAGTTGTAAGCTATGGCCCATGGCTTCAGCTACGGCTTTGCATGCGTGTCTCCTCGAGCTCCTCCAGGGCCAGAGCTTGCTCCGCCAGAGCCTCGGGGGGGGTTTGGGGGGGAGTGTTTTTTTCACGGGGAGGAGCGAGAGCCGAAGTTCAAGAGCTGAGATTTCGTGTGATGTTCGCGTGTCCTCTCCTGTAATGCTTGAAAGCGAGGTCGGAGTGCGAAGCATTACGCCGCTCAACTACGCCTGTGCCGCTGGCCACGAGCTCCTCGGGCTCCCCCGGCAGCACCTCCGGCCCTGGAAACAAAACAACTTAGAGAACGCCAAGAAAGGGCATCTGCGTGACAAGCAAAAGCGCAAGCAAGCTCAAGCTTTCTCTCTCTCTCTCTCTCTCTCTCTCTCTTGCAAAACATGCGTGCTCAAAAGGCGAAATCCATGCGTTCTCAACAATGCCTTTCGGGGCCGAGCTCGTGGAGTATCCTGAATGCGGCAACGTCTGCGGGAATGAGTAAAGGGTGTGGGGAATGGGGATCGGAATGGGTGTGGGGAAAGTGGCGGGGCGGGGCAGCCAGCAAATGCCTCCGCCCGACAAAAAAAAAACGAGTGTCCTCCCCCGGGCGCCCGTCGCAGCATCTCGAGGATGTCCTCGGAAGGAACCAGGTGGAGAGAAGCGGGGGCACGAAAAAAATCGCCAGTCACAAGAAGCACAAGAAGCACAAGAAGCACAAGAAGCACAAGAAGCACAAGAAGCACAAGAAGCACAAGAAGCACGTAGCCACACGCGGCCACACGACAGGTCTCTTGGCTGGGCCTTGGTGAGCTGGGACAGCCCGCTGCTTCTCCTGACTGCAACAGCTCGCACACGGTGCTGCCTCGCTCCCCCTATCTCGCCCCTAACTCTTTCTCCCCAAAACCTGAGAGATGACAAAGTTCGGCGGGGGGGGGGTGTTTTGGGGGGGGTTTGGGTGGGGTGCGGGCCTGATCAGCGGCTCCAAAGCCGGGGCGTCGCGGAGCAGCGCATCCTGGACGGACGAGGCCTGCTGCGGAGCAAGCCAGGGACCGATTCCTGGAAGACATGGCAGATTGTGCCACGTTGTGCACCGTTGCATGCGTTTTGCCTAAAGCATCCTCCTTCAGGCCTCAAACGGCACGTGGGACTGCGCACGTCCCGCAACAGGCGCCATGCTTTCAGTGGAGAGGTAAGCAGCTTTCGCGTAAGTTGCAGAAAGGCTGCTGGGCTCGAATCCTGTGCTGGTTGTGGCTGGTTGCCCTAAGACACCCCTCTCTGTGCATCTCTTCGGTGTTCTTCCCTGCTCCCTCTCTGCTCCCTCTCTGCGCACTCTGTGCTCACTCTGTGCTCACTCTGCTTCCTGTGCTGATCTTGAGTAGCAACGAGGGAACCTGACAGACCCCAAGCTTCTGCTTTCAAGTGGAGCCTTCGGGGGATCTGCAGAACTTTTTCGTTCCGCGGCGAGACTCAAAGCGAGGCCTGGCACTCGGTCGCTTGCACGGCAACATTTGCAACAACTTCACAGCGGAGATGTATCGGTTCTAGCCAAAGGCAAAAGGCACACCGAAAAGGGCTTCAGACCGAAGTGCCCGGGGAGGCCGGGAGGCCTGTGGGGAGGCCGTATGGCAGGGCTGGAGAGCAAACCCTCACAGATCATCGCGGCAAAGCCGAGATAAGTTCGACCACCCTGGGATGCTTCACATCGCAGATTGGCCGTGCCGACTGGCGCGACAGCTCTGAAACTTTCGTCGATATGTTTCTCACCTATAACTGGAAGTGGAATCTTCCCGCCCTTGCGGGTGCCGTCGCCCCACAGCCTGGCTTGTTTTGATGGGGGGTAAACCGGGTAAACATTAACCATAAAGTGTGCATTCACCGGCGCACATGTACAGCGCGAGAGGCCACTTCGCCCTCTCTCTACGCTCGGAGAGCCCCTCTTTGTCTAAGGCTCCCCGAGAGAGGCTCAACTCCAGAAGAAGGGGGGGGGCCCCTCAGAAGAGAGCCCCCGGATCTGCGAGAGACGTCCTGAGAGACGGAAATGCAACCCCCCCCCCCCCCCTACATCCGCTACATTTGCAAAAAACAAACAGAAGAGATCACTCCAAGGGCAAGCAAAAGCACAAGCACACAGAAGAGCGTGTTTTGCGGCTGGTGGGGAAGAAAGAGCTGAGACCATCTCACAGTCTTACACAGCCTCCAAGTAACTTGTTCACAAAAAGCCAAGTCAAAAGCGCGCATCAAAAACACGTGAGGATATGGATCACGCGACATGGCTAGGGATGCATCTCCCCAACACTCTTGGGGGGGGGGAGGGGCATGGGGCATGTTGTTGCCTTGAACTCCAAACTTGAGAGCAGGGCGACCGAAAGCTAGGGCACTGCCGGCAGTGTCGCTTCATCTTCTCCCGTCAACGGGCAGCATGCATCTACACAAAGTGTCGAACCTGTCATGCACATCGCACACAAACTCTCTTACACATGAGGACACACATCCTTAGGAAATCTCACAACGCAAGCTCGTCCAGGGCGTTTGCTATCACGCAAACCGGTTCGTCTTGCTGCGTGCAACGCAAGCTCATATTGACAGAGTTGGTTCGATGCGTGCGTGTAGTGCTCATGTGTACGAAAGAGTTCATACAATAGAAAACATCTTCTACTGACTTCTCACAAAGCAAGCTCGTCTAGTACACCCTTCGTTTGCTTGCTGTCAAACCGGTTCTGCAGTTCGGAGATCAACGCAAAAGCTCATGCAGGGAGACACACTGCAACAGCGAGCAAAAATCGCCCCCCCCCCCCCCCCCCCCAGAAACTGATAAACAGACCCCTCCTTATCGAGAACCTGGAGGCCCCCCCCCCCCACTTAGTCCCCCCCTCCCCTTAGTCCCCCCCCCCCGCCCCACCAGTGCGTGAGAGGAAGAGCTCAAACCTCCGATCGGAGACTCAGAAGCCCCCTGAGTGCTGACCCAACAACAAAGTGGTAAACAAGAACTCCCGCAAGCTCAGAGCTTTCGTGACAATCCCTAGGTGGACCCCAACTACTCCGCGCAGAAGTCTATTGCACATATCACAGGTCCTGACGTCACAGCTGCACCCGCTCCTGACATCGTCACGAGGGAGCAACACACTGAAAAGCACAGTTGAACAGCACTCCGAACGGCACACTGGGCCTGCGCCCTTCTCTCGCGATGAGTGATCTTAACGGTTGATATGCTGAGTATGCTGAGTTGGTCACGCTCGTGCCTCTTGTCAACAAGCAACAAGGATGGTTGTTATGCCTTTAACAACATTTGGGCTGGTTCCAAGAACTCGCCCCTTAACACCCCCCCTCTCTCTTCCCCAACATTGCAAGAGAGATTCCATTGTTTGCAAAAGAGGAGGGGGGAAAGAGCAGCTACGAATCAAATTCCTTATGTGGAACTTGCTTTTCAGAAGATGAACTGGTTTGTTTCCCACTTTTCCGCGCGACTTGGGCACTGGATCTCCCGGTTTTCCAGGAGGCCGGACCGGCGAAGCAGGCCCTCCCCCCGAAAGCGTTCACGGCATTCCATTGATTCCATGTCCTGCTCGGAAGCTTGACTCGCAGAGATGATGAGAATCAAGGGTGAATGTGCATGTGATTGCCGGGCATCTGCCGAAGCAGTGCCTTTTTGGGAGCGTTCCGCCCCTTTTCATGAAATGGAGGGGTTGCAGGATCTGCGTGACTATTGATGTGGTTGTCGATGCATGCTTGCTTGCGCAGTCACAGACTGTAAACACAACAGCGGTGTGGAGTCTCACAAACTGGCATCAGACATGACCTGACCGGTAGTGGTTGTGTTGCGCTGCGCTGCGCTGCGTTGGTGGTCAGCTTTAGAAGCCTGCAATGCTTGACGAGAAACATCGAGCAACCTATGCTTTGCAGCCCGAAAGGTCTTCCCCACCACGGTGTGTGTTCAGCAAGCGGTTCGAGGCTCGACGGGTTTCGGTACGCAGCAGGACTCGGAACTCGAAAAGAAAAATGCAGAGAAAAGCTTCGGAGTTAAGGATGCTTCGGCATTCATTGGGGTTGGAACCTCTTCACGTGCCTCAGCGTATGCCGAAGCCGTAACTGGCGTTGCCCATGCCGGCCATGCCGCCTCCCCACGCCTTTGCGCTGGCGGTCAGTGGAGGCGAGGTGGTGGCATGGGGGGGGTGGCTAGCAGCAATGGGCACAGGCACCACAGAACTGAATCTCCTGAGTTTGAAGCAATCGCTTCCCTTTAGAGCTGTAACACAATCAGTCGTAGGGAGTGTCGACCTCGTAGGTAGGCACGATGGCTTGTCCTCTTATATTTTGCCATGTCCACAGGTTTTTCGGACGCGGCCCCAAAAGCGCACTGCTCTTCGCTGCTCTTTAACTTTCGAAAGCCCCGAGCAGAGCACTCTGCTTGGGTGCAGGGGCCTGTGCCCAGGGGGCCCCTGCCTATTGGGCTAGTGGCCTAGAGTGCCTTCGGGGCAAACAACTTGCAGTTGCCGAAGTATATGCTCGTTCGCAAGTTTCAAGTTCTCCGAGCTCCCTGCACCAGGCTGCATTGGCCTCAGCAGCAATCTGCTCAAAGTCAGTTGAGAGCAAGCGGGGGGAAATCAGGAAAAGTAAGTGGCCCGGCTGCGGCGCTGGCGCGAGTGTTCCCTGCGGAACACCCCATGATCCGTTCACCTCGGCGCAGGCGAAGTGCCAGTTCACACGGCTGCTGCGATCCGCTGCAAGGAAGCTCAGCGGAAGCTCCTTGGCTGATCTTGGCTGACTGTGCTCGACTGCCTGGGGGCGCAGCGGATGTCGACCTCAACACTCACCACGCCAAATCTCACTACATCTCAACACCTGGAGGGGGGGACGGTCCAAGGCTCAACTACCATCAATGCTGAGGTCATCTTTACACGTTGCTTCTCTTTGTTCCGGCGGAAGAATAGCCGTCATGTACCGACATAACCGCACGTATTGAAACTTCCGTCGCCCTCTTTTGAGGAGGCTTTCTCAGGCCAGAACATCTGCGCATAGTTCGGGCCAGCCTCGGCTGCGAAGAGAAGACACACTCAGAGGTTCCTGAAGGCTTCTGTGAGCTCCGGGCCGGCGTGGCCGGCGCGAGGCCGAAGTCACCGCCGGAAGCACTTCCGGGCGCCTCGGGCTGCCACAAGTATAGGGATAGGGGAATTCCTCTAAAGCAACAAAAAAGGAGGGGGAGGTGGGGGGGCAGGGTGGGCTTGCGCTCTTTCTGTCTGACGGTGCCGAGGCCCGCGCCATCATGCCCGGCCCGGGCATGGGCCCAGGCATGGGCCCGGGCATCGGCCCGGCCATGGGCCCGGGCATGGGCCCGGGCACGGGCGCTCCCAGCCCGAAGCCGCCCGCGGCGCCACCGGCCTGAGCAGCAGACTCACAGAGAGTCACAGCCTTCCTCCCCTTAAAGGCGGCTGCAATGTGAGGATGGCGGGTGGAAGGACGCAGGCCACAATGCAGGGAGAGATGCAGCTTCAATCCACGACAATCGCAACAAGCACTCAAATTCTTCATGGTCTCTCACTGCTCCGTGCTCTCAGCTTCGAGCCAGCCCCATGCCAAAGTCGGGCCTCGAAGGAGAGACTCGAGGGAAGCCGGGTCTTTAGGTGTTTTTCAGGAGCCTAACAGGGAGGCGACACGCGGGGACCCACACAACCCTAGGATGTGCTTGGAATCCCATCACATGCAGGGTCACAAGCTAGGTCTTGACGCCCACTCTGCCATCTGTTGTTCTAACCCGCTGCACCGAGCCCAGAGCGCGGGAGCACCGCCGCAGCCGCCGCAGCCGCCGCAACCGCCGCAACCGCCGTAGGCGGCGTAGCCGCCACTGCAACAGCCGCCGTAGCCGCCGTAGCCGCCGTAGCCCGCGGGGCCCTGGCAACAGCTCTGGCCGCACGAGCCGGGCGGCCGTCCGAGACCTCACTTGAGGATTGCACTTGGGTACTCAGTTTTGTATAGGGCTCCCTCTTGTGCTGCGAAGCACCGAGAAAAATGCCGAGATCGGAGCCGTTGATGCCCCTGGGGTTGCAAGCGAGTTCCCAGGACAACTGACACACTGAAAGGGGGGAGGGGGGCGGTTTCGCCCAAGCATCACGCTGCCCCACAGCACCGCAAGAGCAGCTAAAAGAAGAGCGCGTTGCTCCCCGCTCCCCCCCTCTCTCTCTCTCTCATATTTTGGGTCTGCGGCGGCGGCCCGTAGCCGTTGGCCTCAAGAGGGAGGGAGACGGGGCCGCGCTGAGAGCGAGAGAGGCTCCAGGAGAGAAGGAAAGGGAGCGAGAGGGAGGGAGAGATGGAAAAGAGTTCCACTCTTCACAACACAGGGTGCCACACTCCCTCTTCTTCTTATCTCTTCTTCTTCTTCTACTCTCCCTAGGGTATGCAATGTTTCTGGTGCCCCCCGCATTTGCCTCTCCCTCTCCCTCTCTCCCTCAAATCCTCTCCCACATTCGCTCCCCTTGGGGCCGAGGCCCCGGCGGCTCCCGGTGACCTTGGCAGCGCGCAAGAGACTGGAGTCTCAGACAGCACACAGCACACAGCACCACCAAAACAAACCCAAAAACAAAAAAAGAGAGAAGCCACGCTCACTCCCGATACTTAAAAAAAACTGCAGTTCTTTCGAGGTTCCTCCTCGCCTACCAAAAAGCTGTCTCGGCCCCCGCGCTCCTCCAGCGCCTTCAGGGGTGCCTCCCCCAGCAGCTGCAAGGACGCAAAATCACACAAGTCGTATGGAAAAAGGGAACATGTGAAACTTCTGAATGCTTCTGAATGCATAGAGAGATCGTGATGTGTCGTGACACAAGCCGTCTTCATTCGGCTTGTGTCCAAAACTCGAGTCTGCAAAAAGAACAACAAAAGCCACAAAACCAACGCCGCCGGCCATCTTCACCACGGAGGAGCCGAGCTTCGTGGCGGGGACCCAACCTGACTCCAGAGGCAAATGGAGAGGAGACAAAATAAACAAAACACAGCAGTGGCAGCTGGCAAATGAATGCCAGCACCCCTTTTCAACCCTTCTTCCCTTCCCCCACCGTCTGGCTTTGGCTCCCGGCCCCTCTTCTCCTCGCCGAGTTTCAGAAAAACCTCACCAAGTTTCTCTCAGGGAAAAGGCGGGAGGAAGCCATCTCTAGCGCTCCCTGGCAGAGATCTCTGATCTGAGGGCAAGGCATCGCCGTCTGAGAGGGTCACCTTCTCGGACACCACCACGCGGGCCCTCCGGACATGTTCAGACAAGTGCAGACAGAACAGAAACCCACGCGATCTCTCTCGCGACAAGCGGAAGGCGCACCTGTATTTCAGCTTCTTGTTGGCATTCCGGGCTTGGGACCGCGTCGGCGTGGTGCGAACTTGAGCGCCATCCTTCACGGACCGCGCGAATCTTGGAAAAAAGGCGGGGCATAAAGGAGGAAGAATTGGGCTTTCTCTCTCTCTCTCTCTCTCTCTCCTGCACGCTTAGCCCCCCCCGAAGGGAAGGCTGCCCCAACTCTCTCTCTCTCTCTGGGGGGCACATCTCTGCCTTGGCTGCATGCTTTAACTGGCTCGCTCCAACCAGAGTTTGACAACACCCCACGGGTCCACCCCAAGCCCCTCATGGTACTCGGTATGATGAAAGCTCTCAGCAGTTTGAAACACCCGGGAGGCGCGCCCCGGTGCACTCCAGTTGTGCAAATTCCTATGGGAGCCGTAAGTACGTCATGATGTCATGTGGTTCCTTCGATTTCGCGTTTCATTGCAGTGTTTGCACAGTTTTTGCGGCAAAATGCATATTCTGTGGCATGGACCGACGTGAACAGCGTGACTTCCGCAAGACTTCCCAGCCGGCGTCTGCTACGTCCTTGTCGTTGCAGACGTAGATCCACTTGTGCCTTTCCCGCACGACGAGGTCGCACGCCACCTCCGGGCCACAGAACATCCCAAAAAGCACCACACAAAGAGCTCAAAGAGCTCCCACGTGAAGCAACAAAACAAAGCACCGCAACTGAGGGGCCCCCCCGGCAAGAGTGCTCAGAGATCCGCCCACGCGCGCCTTGCCGGCGCCATCCTCCCGGGCGACCCAGCAGCCGTCCACCAGCCTCAAACCCCGAACAAAACCCAAGAAGAAACCCAACAAAAAACCCGAAGAAGCCCCGCGCCCTTCCCCCCGTCCCCCCCGGCCTGTAGAAGACCAAGCCAGCGACCCGAAGCTCCTCCACCGCCTCTCGGTCAACATTGATCCGCAACGATTCGCCTTTTGTGGTGCTTCTTTCTTGAAGTGCTCTGAGCGCTCGCTGGGGGGGGGGGGGGGGGACCCCCTTTCTCTCAGAGGGCGCCTCGACAAAGTCACCGGGGTTCAGGTACTTCTTGGTTGCGCGCTTCCTGGCCCAGATAAGCACCCGAAAGAGAACCCCGCTATCAGATCTCTCACAAGGAAGCTTCTCAGGGAGGACGTCTCCAGGAAAGAACCCTTCTCTGAAAAACAACTGCCGGATCTCCTCTGCCTTTACAAAATGCCTAAGGCCCTACCAGACCATTCTAGCCGATTCTAGCCTACGAGACTCTCTTTGTCGGGTTTTGCTGTGCCCTTTTCGGGCCTTGCCGGGGCCGACAGCAGAGCGACCTGGGACTTGGCGACCACGGAGACCCAGCAGGGCCTCAAGAGAGCTCACAGAGGGAAAGGGCCAGGGCCAACCTTTCTCACACTTCATTTTGAGAGAGGGACAGACAGAGGGAGACAGAGAGAGAGAGACAGAGAGAAAGAGAGAGAGAGAGAATAAGAGAGAGAACATGCGAGAACTGTCGAGCCGCCACGCGGCGGCTTTGTACAGTAGGGTGGAAGTTGCAGCATCCCAGCAAGGAAGCGAAAGGTTTGGGAAGCTACTGAGCGTAAGAGGAAGGATGGGGGAAAAGCATGGAAAGCATGGAAAGAATGAAGCTGCTCACACGAGAATGGGGGTGTGAGGTGCGACGGCGTCCGCAGACGCGGGCTTCTGAAGAACACCTGCGAGCCCGAGCCACGCAGCCACGGAATTTGGGGTCCCGACATGCCCTGGCACTTGGGGTCCGCGAAACCGCCGCCCTGCGCTTTGAAACAACGCTTCTGCTCTCATTCTCTCATTCTAGCGGCAGGATGCAGTTCTCGGGGCAGAAGACATGTTGATCATGTTGCGCGAAACTCGCTGATGCTTTGATATCTTCTTCTTTCGGATCCCTGCGGCTCCTGAAACTCACACAGGACCGTCTCCCCGGGACCGGCATCCTTGACGCCGCAGTGCACCCTGGGACCGCAGACACGACTCAAAGCTCGCTGCGCGAGATGATTGGCACGTCAACAGCGATTCAGGTACAGATACCACAATTGATTCTGAAATGTTCTGCATCACTGTCCTGCCGGGCTGTCGACAATGCAGCTACCGCGGTGTGAGCATGGAAAACATAGTGGCCCGAATGCAGATGCTTGTGCACACATGAAAGCCTGCAACCCGCCTACCTGCTGTTGACTCGGAGAGAAAGCCCTTAGGGCTCTGCCCAGCCTTCTTTTTGCCGTTCGCTTATCCCCCCGCCTCAGCTCGCCGAGCCAGCCCTCGACGCGGCGCGGGTCTTCCACCTCCGGAGAAGAGCAGAAGAGAAAACATAGAAAACAAACAACAAAAATAGACGTTCTCTTTTAATACTTATAAATGTTCCCAAACCGTTTGCAAGCCGTTTTTGGTGCTTTTGCTTGTTCTCGCAAGCCTTGTAGTAGCGCGCCCAGTTCTCCTTGCTGCGGTCGCCGGGAGATGGGACCAGCACTTGGACCTCTACTCCAAGAGGGCTCCCCTCTTCTCTCATGAGGTGTTGGGCAACAAAGACCTTCCGAATCACATCCACCGTGGAGCCGGCCAACCTCAAGGAGGGGCGAGAAGTTCAGAAGCTCGACACAACTCGACACACATTCCCGACATCCCACCCTTTGGTGGGGGCATGTGGGGGCTCCTTCTTCCCCTGCTGGGCTCCGGTCACTTCGGGCGCTCCGCTGACGGCGAAGGGGTAAGGCGCCGGTAGAATCTTCACCTCTTTTTTTGAGTCGCTTCAAACCACTTTCTGAGCTCTACGAGCTGCGTGGGCTCCCCGAAAGCGAGCCAGCTGCTCCGGCTTCTCCAGGCGCGGGTCCACCATCAGCTTCATGCCCTGCGCAGCTGCCCCCCCCCCCCACATCTTTCCCCCAAGCTGCCCTGCGCAGCTCAAAACACATATTGCTGCTGCAGCGCTCGTTCTTGAAAAGCCTCTGGTGTGCCGCTCCGCACCCCCTCGCTCCGCACCCCTGCACTCCCCTGCACTGATGCGCGGCTTGTGCCTTCGCCACCTTGCCCTCGTCGCTCACCTCGGACACGTGCCGCCGGGAGGACCTTGGCAAAAGAGAGGAGAGGAATTTTTTTTTTCAGAGAGGGTTCATCAGAGAGGGGGCTCTCGGAGTAAATCTCGGAGTAATGGGGGCTCTTCAGAGGCGCAAGGGGCTTCTCCACCAGCCAGCCGCGGCCGTCCATCAAGCACAGCCTGGGCCCAACAGAAGTTTCCCCCCCGCTCCCCCCAAAGAGAAGAAGACCTCTTTCGGTTCCGCGGGCTCCGGGCCAGAGCTTCTGTCCCAGGAGCCCTCGCTCGCAAACCCTGGGCAAGGGCACCAGTTTGTTGAAGAGGGGCTTCCGGAAGAGCACGCACGGTGACTTCACGCACAGTTCTGCTCACCCTGCTCCTTTCGACACAGACATCGCAGACAGAAGAAAGCACATAAAGCACAGGCAGGGCGAGGCATCAAGATCGGAGTTGAGCTGTTCCTAAAATCGACCTTCTCAAACTCTAAAGTTCTTCCATGTTCAAGTGGTGAAGTTGGCCTCACCAGCTCACCGGGCTGCACGGCCTCGCACAGCGGAGAGCTTTCTCCGAAAAAAACCCGCGGTAGGGACCTTCCTGACCCTCTCTTGGAACTGCGATTCTTCTCTGACACCAAAAAAGATCATCTGGCACAACACAGGAGTGTGATCTTCAACGGCAAGCTCCTAGAATCTAGAAGCTCTTATCCAAAGTTATCGCGTCTTTTTCTCGCGAGGGCCAACAACGCTCCTGCAGTCCGACCAGTGGTCGTCCTGTAATTCGAATTCCCGGTGACACATCTGATAGTCCCAGAAAGTGCATTGCACGGAAACTGGAGCCTGAAAACTCTTTCTCCCCCCCTTTTGCCCTGTATATTGCTGTATATGCGCTTTTTGCCCTCAACGCATGCTGCTGTATAGTTCTCACCTCTCAATGCGCTGTGGCCCGCAGAGTCGTTGGCCCGCAGAGCTACGGAAACTCTCAACACAGAAGGAAAGGCAAAACTGATTTGGCACAATGTGGCGAGATTTGCCCAGAAACGCACCCACCCATGCCCTATGTGTCATGTACCCATGTGCCTGGCGTACTCTTGGGCAAACTGCCTCCTGCTGCATCCCACGGTACGCTGCTTAGCAGCCGTTTGCTTCGTATTCTTAAAGGGAGGACCGGAACGGAGCAGAGGCGAATTTGCAGGAAGGGCTCCTGATCCAACTTGCGTGACCCCCAAAACGAGGCAATGTCATGGTCGCATACCATGTGCACCGTACATGCCCGCATGCCTCCGGCCGGTCTACTAGGAATTCACCGCTCGTGCCCGAGGGCAGAAGCATGGAGGAAAAAAACAAGCGGGCATCACCTTCAGCGATCCACTTCAGGCGCTGAAAAGTGTACATCTCCGTAAACCGTGGCAGCACCATGCAAACCAGGTTGCCACAAAGGGCATTTTCAAAGAGCGCCGGATTCCGGATTCCGGCCCGACCTCACTGGCACTTTTCGGGTCCCAGCATTCTTTTGGGGCTCTCTTGGGAGGATTCTCTCAAACGCTATTTCGAAACGACTCTGGCTTACACTGACTTACACTGACTTACACGCTGGACTTGCCAGAGCTTGGTGCTCTGGTGCGACTATGTGGACTGCGATGCTCTTTGAAATTTCAGCTTCCTTGAGCTTCCGCTTCATAGGACCTGAGACGCGCCTTCCACATCCTTCCACACTTACAGTGAGACGGCAGGAGTGCTACCTGTGCCAGCGCGGGAGCAAGGCAAACCACTCCCTCAAGACCAGAATAGCGCGCTGTCGAAAAAGTCTTGGGGTGCAACGGTTGCACGGAGTGAGCCTCAGGGTTTCCACCCCTTGGGGGCCTCAGTGCCCGTCGGCCCGTGACCTGACCTTTTTTTTGTGCGCACGGGTGGAAACCCTGGGGGTGTAGCGAGAGTATTCGGTATTCTTCAGCGTTCATTCCAAATCCCTGGCCCGCAGACAGGGCATCTCTGCTGGTCATTCCTTGCTGCCGGCCCGGGTGGCCTCGAAGTTGCAGAGAGAGAGAAAGAGAGAGAGAGAGAGAGAGAGAGAGAGAGAGAGAGAGAGAGAGAGTGAGAGAGAGAGAGAGAGAGAGTGTGTGTGTGAGAGAGAGAGTGTGAGAGAGAGAGGGAGAGAGGGAGAGAGGGAGAGAGTGAGAGAGTGTGTGAGAGATTTTGAAACAGACGCCCGAGTCTCGACGCTCCACCTACACTACCACAACTCGCAACACTCCCCGGCTGCAGAGCCGGTTCTCACATAGACACACCTGATACGCAAAGAAGCGCGCGCCACAGAAAACCGAGCCGGGGGGGCATCGTCTTTGGACGTCTTCGAGGTCCTTTCTATCTGCCGAATATGGGCGGGCTCTTCAATCTTGCAGTGAGACACAAAGAAGCGACACGGAGAGAGAGCGGGAGAGAGAGAGAGATGAGGGATGAAGAGGGACGAAAGGCATCAAGAGGCATCAAGAGAGCACCCCGTCCTGGCCAGGAAGTCCTCCTTGCCTTCCTTGCTGCCGGGCGTCGTGAGCCGGCCCCAGGCCTCGGATTTGTGTCCCCCCTGAGAAAAAACAGTCTCGAGATTGAGAGAGACAGAGAACTTGTGAGGAGAAAATATGAGAGAGAGAGAGAGAGATCACATCAACAAAAAGAAGAAACGAGAAAAGGTGCTTCTCATAGAGAGAGAGAGAGAGCGCGTCTCGAAGAGAAAAAAAAGTGAGAGAGCGCTCTCCGGGATGTGAAATGCCAATTATTTCTGCATGCTGCTGAGCCATGCTCTCTGCTACTCTGCTCTTTGCATCTGCATGCTGCATGTGCAACTCTGCTGCTCTCTTCGAGAACCCTTTCTACTTATGTTCTCGCTGGGCCAGCGGCGCTCTGCCGGCCTTCCAGCTCAGACCTCCAGCACTCTCTCTGCCTCTCCCTCTCTCCCTTTCTTTCTTTCTTTCTTGGGGGCATGGGGCCGAGCCCCCGGGCGTTCTCGCCCGCCCCGGTATTCGGGGGGCCTCGGGCCTCTCTCCCTCTCTCCCTCCCTCTCTCTCTCTCTCTCTCTCTCTCTCTCGCTTTCGCTGCTTCTTTTGCGAACACAAAGGGCAAGCTTCTTGCAAAAAAACACTCGCACTCGGAGCGCCCTGAAAGGAAACACCCCGTCTTTTGCAAACGGCGCCTATTCCACGCCGCGCCGCTCTTGCTGGCTGCCCTGCCACGCGGGACTTAAGTCGGGTGAGTGGCTTTGCGGTGGACGGGGCGGGGGGGGGGGGGAGGTCTGGGCTTTCTGTCTGTTTTTTTGGGGGTGAAGTAATTCCTCGGGCCAACGCATGGACTCCTGAAAGGAACCCTCCCATTTTACCCTGGGGAAAAAAGCAAACGCAGGGGGCCGCTACTGCTCACACACACAGCCACACACAGCCACACCAAGCAGCACGCTGTGAAAGCTGAAGCCGGCAAGGTCGGGACTGTGACACGGTCATGCCGGCAGGGCCGCACTAGCTGACGGAGAGGAGCGGCAGTGCCACGAGCCTGGGAAGAGTCAGCCGCACATCCGGAATATTTCTTGGCAGAGGAATGTGCGCGAGCAAGCTCTTTTGGAAATGCCAGTGGCGTCCTTTTCTGCTGTCATATGAATTGAACACTGCCTGTAGATTCCGTAGAAGCTTTGCTGTGAAGTGGAACGCGGACAGGCGACGCCATAGCTACAACCATCCCCGAACAAAATCGTGTCTTTTTGTAGTGATGATGATGGTGATGATGAGGAGGATGATGAGGATGACCATTAGACCGTCATCATCATCATCATCATCATCATCATCATCATCATCATCATCATCATCATCACCATGTCATCATGTCATCATGTCATCATGTCACCATGTCATCATGTCATCATATCATCATTATCATCATATCGTCATGCATCACTCAACAAATTGTCGGAGAAGCTATCTACGACTTATCCATCAGATTGGTACTGCCAAGGGACGCTATGCGCTTGCCCCCTTTCCATACCTCTGCTAGCTGTTCCTGGCTTGTGATATGCGCGTGAAGGCGCACGGGTCCCCAAGGCAGACTGGCAGGCCTTGCCCGTGCCTCCTTTGTCGCGGCATGCGGCGACGTGCTGTCGATCCAAATTTTGGCTCGCAGTAGGAGCATGCGGTCTGTGTCAAGCCGAGGAAGAAAGGACGCTTTGCACTTTAAGGGCTTCCAGCGATGGCCTCGAAACTTTGTTCTGGGGTCTCGGGCACAAGCCTTTTTATCATCCTTGGGCACTCTTGCGTTTGCTACATCGAGCCTTGCTTGGGCGCTTAGACTGCGAAAAAGGGCCCTGAGGCTCTGAGGCTCTGAGGCTCCGGCCTGGTACTTCCGCTGGGTCCACAGCACCTCAGCCCAAGTCGAGGGAGCAAAAGACCAGCCAACCCGGGTTCGAGCAACAGAGGACAGCCCCGTTAGCGGGAGAGAGCAAGAAAGCAGAGACAACACACACACACACACACACAAAGCTGTCTCCCCTCCCACAATCCACCCTCTGCTGGACAGCAACAAAAAGGAAAAGACAAAGGCCCAATAAGCTGGTGAGTACCGAGGGGAAACAGCGCCCTTGTAGCTTCCTGCCACAAGGCCCTCCTGCAGGGCAGGGAAAGAAGCCATACCCACCAAAAGAGCGAACAGAAGCCATACACTGGCCACCGTTTCCTCCCAACCGTGCCCTCCTGCAGGAAAAACCATGGAGAAAACAACAACCACAGGCTGGGCGAGCTCCGGGAAAACGACGTAGCTTCCCCCGAAACGCCCTCCTGCCCGCATACACTTCTGAGATCCCTGCCGAGGCAAGAAAGTAACCTCTCCTAGCGTCCCCCCACCCCCCAATGGCCCCAATGGGACAAAGCTCGACCAGCAGGCTGAACAAAAAAAAAGCAATCCACTGGCGAGACCCCAGCCCCCTCGTGGCAAGAAACGCCCCACAGCTTCCTCCCCACAACGCCCTCCGCCAAAGAACACGACCCTTGTGGTTTTCAGGTTCTACTGCTGGATTCTGTCAGGCCTGGATGCAAAGTTCCAGGTGCTTCTGTACGCACACAGACAAAATGGTTCCGTGCGGCGCCTGCATGATATCGTTCATGGCCACGACGTCGAGCCACTCGTCGGCCTTCGAGGAAGGGGGGGAGCTTGGCCCCAGCTTGGCTATCCCAGCTGGTGGCAAGCGTCGTTTTACTTTTTCTATGCCTGAGTCCAGCGGAGTCTGGGGCGAAATCGGAGTCTACCGCGCTGAGGGTTTGTGTGGTGTCTGGCCTCCGCCTCCGAGTCAGTGAACACGGTCTCGACGTTGGTCTCGTCGACCTCCACCTGACAACATTATGAGTTTCTGAGAGAGAGAGAGAGAGAGAGAGAGAGAGAGAGAGAGAGAGAGAGAGAGAGAGAGAGAAAGAGAGAGAGAGAGAGACAGAGGGAAGGCTTTTACCTCCGCACCTCCACCTCCACCCACCACCCCACTCTCAGCCACTCTCAGCCACTCTCAGCCACTCGCAGCAAG